GGCATTCTTTTGCTGGGTGACCTGATGCCGTCCCCATTTTCATAATGTGTTCACAAGTGTCAACCTCACATGCAAACAGTGGGATTCTTGTAGATTTAACCACATGGATGGGGATGAAGGGACCATGTTTAAATTTGGCTGTGACATATATTCCATTGTTGCTGTCAATGCACACCACTGGCTGTGTGTTTTGGAATCATGAATCTTGCGCGTTTTCGGTAATTGCTACCAACAGTGAATGTGGCTGTTTCCTTTATGTCTATGTAGTTAAAGAATAAACAAACATATAATTAGTGTAGGCCTACACCTGAAACAATATGTTTCTGTCTACGTACCAGTTTTGTCAATTTAAGTTATATCTATTGACATAAATGGATTGATTATTACTTACATATATAAAAGGAGAGACATATGACATATGTCAACTGATATAATTTCTTACCATGTACCTTTTGCAGATGTACCTTAAAAACATCTTCTCGGACAATAGGCTTAAAGTTACAGAAAGCGCAATGATAATGGACTCTTGTGGTTGTCTTTTGGCCCAATTTGCAATGACATGCAACTGTGAAACATTCTACAACACAGCAAAACAAATTATATTGGCTAACAAAAACAACAAAAATTAAGACGTTCATATGAATTATTACAGTGACACAAATGTAATATTTAAAAACAAAAACATAATATTTCAGCTATGACAAAGAACTCAGGTCTACCTTTCTGTTGATGAAAGAAGTAAACAGCTTTCTGAAGATGTTTCCTTCTTAAATGCCGTTCATTGCTTTGTTCTTTCTTTGTGCAAAATTCACAAACATTTTTAGTGCAAGCCAAGAATGCATTCACATCTGTGAAAATTTCACGAGGACCTGAAACAGCGTAAAAGTTAAACAGTAATTACTACAAAAATGTTGCATTCCAAATAAACGAACAGGCTACATCTTTAACACTACCTCTTATGTGGGGTTTGATTTAAGTTATTGGTTCAAATAATTAGGCCCCAGAGATCATGTAAATACTTTTGCGTTTTCATCACACTTTGATACAACTGTGGTTAAAATTAAACTCATCATTCTAACAATGCACAAGGCAGTACTTTTCCACTATATGTTTTGTTTATCAATCCATTAGCATCGGCAAATGCTGAATCTCTGCTCGTGTCTGAACCTTGTCACTACACATGTCTGAAAGACACGATCCCAGTCTATTGTTATTTTCTTCAATCCCTTCCCCCATCCAGGTGAAGGCTTCAAATAGCCCACTCACGGGCCTAATATGCTGTAGTTTTGAGCTTGAATATTACGTTTTAGCAAGAACATTGTAAAAGTGGTTGAATAGGCCTACTGTACTTATTTAAATCTGAAACACAAATGAAAAAGACATGCGGTTGATAACTGAAAACATAGGATTTCACCGTGTAGCGTACTGCACAAAAAAGCGCTGTCCACCAATTTCACCTGACATACATATACTGTCTTTACAAAACTTAATTAGCCTATAAAAGGCATTCTCACCTGCCATGTTTTCAACCCAGGATCAATAATCGACAAGTGCGCAAGCAATTTCTTCATACAGGTAGTTGACTGCTGGACACAGGTCTCGTTCCAAATAACGGCGTTACGAGTCAGGAGCTTACGCAACACCGCGGACTAATTTCCGAGCGAAAGTTAATGCGTCTTCGCGGAGTTATACATTGCCTATAGATCTGTTGTAGGGTACCTATACAACATTATTTGTGTAAAGAAATAATTATAAGCAGAACAGAGGGACATAGGCTATTCATGGCCATTCATGGCAGATAACACACACCTTAAGAACATGTAAATAGGCGAAACGTTGACGTGAGTTCCCTGTGTGTGCAAATGTGCCAAAGCGCGGCTCACACAGCGTGGATGTGTGTGCGCGCTGTCACCATGTGACCTTTTCTTTGTATTTCACTATTTGGTGGACCAATTGTGTCTTTGCATAATAAAAAAGGATGTAGGCTATCTTTGCTCTCTTTGATTATAGAACAGTGAGACGTGCAATATCATAACAGTAGTCATCATATATATATATATATATATATATATATATATATATATATATATATATCATCTGAAAATAAACATCTGTAGGTTCTATTTAATTTGGAGGCATTTGTGTAAGTGAGGAAAAAACAAGCATCAATTGGTTAAAAGTTTTAAACTTCAGGTTATTATTACGCTGAAGTGTAAAACGTTTAACCATTCATTATCTAATTTACTAATCAGTATATTTCTGAATAATCTATGTAAATCCTGGTAAAACACACGAAAAGACGCGAACGGCATTTTGGCCATTCTTTTAAACAGTCGAAAATGGCAAAAGGTGCGTTAGCCACAGATTTGGCCACTTCGAAGCGCCCCCTTGTGGTGGCCAAATCATTGGTTAGCCATTTACCACTCAGGGATCTCGGCGTCTCTGACTCACTGGTTGCATGGACTGGACGTTCACGGTCTGAAAACAGAAAACCTCCGAAAACAGGGACCCGTCTTACTTCAACCATAAGACAGTTATTCCACCGCTTCACTGTGCATCAACCGCGCTCCTACAACAACTGAATGAGTGCAGCGCAGGTCCACGGCTGGCCAATTAACTCGCCAGTAATTAACCGCCAGTAAGGCTGATTGAAGTAAATCAACGGCCCATTTTTAAGGTCAAACACTTTTCTTATAAAGTTGCCTTATAAATCTGAGTCAACAGCACCAACAGTAGGGGATCGGTAATAATTAGACTGTTTTAATCTATTTTGTTCAGTTTGGACCGTTATGGACTGTGACGTCATCGCGTCATTATAAAGTTGTTATATCTTAAAAACCAAAACGGCACAAATGAAAATTTCTTCAGCACAAACCAGCACTAACGCAGCACAAACGAACGAGACCATTTTCGTCCAGTTTGGATGATGTGGGGGGGCGGCGTGACGTCATCGCGTCATTATAAAGTTGTTATATCTTAAAAACCAAAACGGCACAAATGAAAATTTCTTCAGCACAAACCAGCACTAACGCAGCACAAACGAACGAGACCATTTTCGTCCAGTTTGGACGATGTGGGGGGGCTGCGTGAACTTAGATTGACCTTTAAAAGATTATTTAATATCTTAAAAACCAAAACAGCACAAACGATATTTTTTTCTGCACAAACCAGCACTAACGCAGCACAAACGATTGGGGCTATTTTCACTGACTTTTGCGTGGGGTGGGGGGCCAACTCCTCACCGCCGCGCGCTCCCACGCACACGCACACTCGCACACGCACACACAAACTGCACATAGACAGATCTCACAGCAACACTGGATATGTTGAATCGGAGTGCTTTTCTCTTTTCTCTCACATTTTTCCAATTGCTGTCAATAAGTTTTGCCTCATCCATCGCAACGTCCTCGATGCTTGAATATGCCGTGCTTTGCATAGATCACAGCCACAGCTCAAGCAAAGCACACACCACTTCTTCTATTTAAAACAAATGATAAACGCACAGCCAGAGCCGCGCGCTGCTGAAGCCGGTTTGGTCACTATTCCGTTTTACGGACGTATGACGGGCAGCAGCCAATGCGCCCGGTGTTGTTCATAAACATTGGTGTCAGGACTTATTATTTTGAAACACAAACAGTTTCATTGACATGAAGACTTGCTTTTGAGGAATTAATCTTTCTTTTTGAGAAAGTGACGCACTTTTGGAGGTTATCCACAAGGTTTGGCTCATGACCCCCCCAGGTACCTATCCTGAGATCGCTCAACCTTAGGATCAGCTTGATTTAGTTATGTTTCGAGGTTTGTGGTTCGAGCCCAGGTCTTGCCATTTTTTGATTTATGTAGAATGTACTTTTTATTGCTCTTAGTTGCGTCTTGAGGTTTGTGGTTCCAGACCACATCCACCCGTTTTTATATTAATGTAGATTTGACCATTTATTGCTCTTAGTTGCATCCAGAGGTTTGTGGTTCGAGTCCAGGTCTTGGCATTTTTTCATTTATGTAGATTTTACCATTTATTGCTCCTCAAGGTTTGTGGTTCGAGCCCACGTCCACCCGTTTTTATATTTATGTAGATTTTACCATTTATTGCTGATTATCTTGATAATTTAGTTTACATTTGTGTTTGGCAATCAAATAGACTTGAATACATGAATTGTTCAAAGCACCCCCTGCAGAGCTCTTACCTTGTGGAGCACGTTCATGTCACACTCCGTACTGCTGTAGAATAACACATTCATCTAAACAGACTTCAGCTTTATCTGCTTTGTCTGTGTATGTATTGTATGTGAACAGATGTGTAGTATTCTTTTTTTTGTATTTTATACTGTAAATGTACATATTCACAAATATGTATATTCCTGAGCATCTACTTCTAGATTATTCTATTCTCTCAATAAAGTATAAGTCTAAAGGCTGTAAATTAAGCGTATTTCTATAATGTAGGAATTGTATTGACTTTTATAGTAGTAAAGCCCAACCAGGGACAGGAGTTGTGAATTAGCATCTGTTATAAACTATATTCATCACATTAGCTGCAAGCTTTGTTTATGACTGTGTCTGCATTGTCCCTGTCAAATAATGCATGGATAATATTGAAAGAGCATCGAGACTTAATTTAAAAAATTTAATAAATATCAGGCAAATCCAAAGCACATAATACATTGTATAGCTTTCAAAACACACATCAGAGAATATCATTGTGCTTGTGCTTAAAGTGTTAAAAACACAGAACCATTGGTCCATAAGGAGTAGACACAAATGTCATACATGTTGTAGAATGTTAAAGTGTCCTGGATCATCACAGTCCTTTTTGTTAGACACCAACTGTCCAATAGACCCTCCTGCATAAGAAGAAAAACTCTAAAACCCAGTGGGAGAAAAGTGAGAAACCTCTGGGAGACCAGATATTGAGAAAGGGATCCGCTCCACATGGACGGACGGGCTATAGATCCAGGACTTAAACTATAGAACGAGGACCAAGGCCTGAGACACCGGGGGGGTCAGGGGGTCATTCTTGCAAGTGCTGTGGAGACATGCTCCTCATCCAGGACATTCTCTGAAGAGAGGAAAAAACCATCACATTTGAATGTCGATATGGAAGCTGCCATCCCATATGCTAATTTGTTAATAGTTTGTACATGTACGCATCATTTCCACCTGTAACAAGGCCAGTTACAATAATTATGTATTGACTTATTTGATAACTGATAAATAAAACAATATGGTGGTTTAATATCTATCAATTTACCTTGCAAAAGCGGAGACATTTGGACAAGGTTGTAGCTGTAGATCTGTAGATTGCACAATGACTTAATATTACTTAAACAGGGGAATTATTTCCATGAGTTATGCTTTTTAATGAAAAGGACAAAAAGTTTTAATGGGATTATCCCGCTTTAGTGTACTAGTAACTAGCAGTATTCTGCCAGCAGCCCACATCATTCTCCAGCAGCCAGCTGAAAGAGTGGCCAGAGTATTTGCTAAAAGTGAACACCAGTGTCCTTCCCACATGTCTCCCCTGGTCTTCCTGGCTGCAGCCTCTGCCTGGTCACAATCCAGCCACAAAGGCTCAATCTGGCTGTCCACACACATCACACATGTGCTCCTCTTGTGCCGTGTGGAGCTGCATGTGGCGGGTCAGGTTTGACTTGAGAGAGAAGCTCTTGTCACACACACTGCACTGGTGTCCAGGCGCCTGATGTGGGAAAGCACAAACACTATCATGATCAACCTTACATTACAGACATGTGTCAAGTGACCAATGTACAAGATTATGTCATTTCATTATTATCATTATCATCATTTTTATTATTAGTCCAACCCGTTAATTAACATAATTATTGATATCACTTTTATTATCTATTATCTTAGATTGCACACCTTACAGGATCTATTTGAGTGCTTAGCTCCTCCTTTCTTATATTCTGCTGTAAAGTGCAACGATGACAGTGAAATGTCCCTTCTGTGAGACAAACAAAAGATTATCATATCTTCTGTACTGTATATTACAGTACACTGTCTGTTGCAGACTATTTTATACAGAAGCCTCACAGAATAATTCATTATATATTCGTGCACCACTCAACACACATGTTGCACGGTTTCAACGGGATATTTATGGCGTTATTCATGTAAATATTTACGTTTTCACATCATTGCAAGCACATAGCGTTACCCGGAGCTAGCAGTAGGCTAATGCTAACGCTGTCTGTCAGGTTTGTACCGCTACAGATCTAGCGCAGAGACGGACTTAAAAACAATCCACAGACAATGTGCGGCCACAGACACAGAGGAAACAAGCGCTGCTTCTGAAGAAAACCCCCGAAGAGAGATTAAAATAGTCCAAAGAAATGACGGAAAGTACCGGTATAGTTGTGACAACAGTGGAGTAGCGGCAGCCATCTTGTTTGCTTCAGACTGCTCAATGGTTGGTCCGTTGAGCAGCTCAACTCGCTCAACCATTGGTCTGTTGAGCAGCTCAACTCGCTCAACCATTGGTCTGTTGAGCAGCTCAACTCGCTCAACCATTGGTCTGTTGAGCAGGAAACTCGCTCAACCATTGGTCCGTTGAGCAGGAAACTCGCTCAACCATTGGTCTGTTGAGCAGGAAACTCGCTCAACCATTGGTCTGTTGAGCAGCTCAACTCGCTCAACCATTGGTCTGTTGAGCAGCTCAACTCGCTCAACCATTGGTCTGTTGAGCAGCTCAACTCGCTCAACCATTGGTCTGTTGAGCAGGAAACTCGCTCAACCATTGGTCGGACCAGGGACTTGGAGGAGCATTCGCCTTTGCAGTTTGTACTAATTGTTTTGAGAAATGCACCAAAGCGACAGAGAAAAACTGTGAAACCAGATTTAAAACTTTTTGGCAATCTTAATTTGTTCAGCACTTTTGAGTTGCCTTCATATTTGCTAAACAAATAAACTTGCCTCGCCTTATATACACTCACCAGCACCAACACTGGATCATTTGGACAAGCTCCTCCCTTTCTTTTCCATCGGAAGCTATGAAGTATAAAGCATATTGATGCATAGTGGACAGAGAAGAAAGATGCGGCCTAACAAGATAATGTTTTTTACATGGGTTGGAGTTTGTCTGGTGCTTTTGGCGTAAGTTTTTATGCACTGTGTTAAGTTAAATTATTTATTAGCCTATAATGGAGGTCTGAATGAATTAGAATAAGAGTGAAGTGGTGAAGGATCTGTGTGGTATATTTTACATTTAGTACATTAGAAGAGGTTTTAAGAATTAATTCAAAGATTTTCCGTTCAAAAAGGCAAATAATGTGTGCAAAGAAGTACGTATTGGTTTTTTTTATATAGCGCAGTTTACAGACCAAGGTCACCCAAAGTGCTTTACTATGTTCAGAGTTCAGATATAGGAATGGTCTAACCGACTCAGACCACTCATCTTATGTCTTACGTATAGTTACAAATGTATTAAAGTTCGAGAATTTAAATGACAAAACATTCCCTCTATTGATCAGGTGTTCCATATTGTTCTCACATTGAGCCATGCATTTTATTAGTGGTTTCATGTTTATTCTGGGTTACATCTACCAGAGAGTTTCTAGTAAAACCTTCAACTCCATAAATGTTAAATAATGTCCTTACTTGAGCAGTTTTGTGCCATGCATTTTATTGGTGCATTCAACTCCATTACTGCTCAACTCTAAAGTCCTTTAAAGATTAAGATGTTTAAATTAAAAATAGTTTCTATCCAACTTTGAATATGTTCTTGTTTTGGAAGGCTTGTTCTGTTGTGGGGAAAGCCTACATTCCCGACGAAGAAGCTTCTCACTACAAAAGCACCTGAGCTTTTCAACGTTTGCCACAATGAAGATCTTCTGATGAATCCAGCGTAATGGATTTCGCCTCTGTCTATTCAATTTAATTGAAATGAGCATATAATGTTTTTTAAATAAATTTCACTTAATTGGAGCTAAATTCCTTCACATGAAAATAGATACTTAGTTTCATATATCCAGGCAGACTGTAAATATTAAGGCATGCCATAACATCAAGTAGGTTTTGATCTTACTATGTTTTAAGATAATTAGATAATAATTATATAATTTGATGATTAGAGTAGTTGATATTGATAATAATGTATTTTATTTTTGTAAAAGAAAAGGTGTGTCAGGATCATTTCAGGATTTTTTTAGCTTCATAATAAATCCAGATGGTCAGGAGGTTTTTGAAATGTTTTTTTTAATTTAAAAAAATAAAACAATTCTGTCTATTTCAGATTAAATTATACTCAACCAAGCACTCAGATTGGGTAACGGTTAAATGGAATTTTTTTTAATCTCTGAGCCATATTGTCTTTTCATCATGACATGTCTTTCTTTCTCAGCCGCAGTGATGTGAACACAGTGACCAACTGGAACGTTCCCCTGGTTTGGGAAGGAACTTTTGATCCAGCTGTGATAGATGATATCTATAAAAGCATCAACCCCAGAATTGCTGTCTTGGTTTTAGCTGTTGGCAAGTAAGAAAAAAGCCTCATGGTTCATGAATCAAATAATGATTGCTACTTGCTTCATATATTGTTGCTCAACATTGGTACGTGTGTGTCTGTGACCAAATAGATACACAACATTTATAAAAGGTTTTTTGGAGTCAGGGGAAAAATACTTTTTTGTTGGATTCCGAGTGACATACTACATCTATACAGACAATAAAAAGGAGGTTCCAAAGGTATGAATCAAAAAACAATTTAGGGTAAATGACTTGATGCACGAACTGTATCCATTCTGCCCTGCAGGTGAGCCTGGCTCCTGGTAGAAACATGTTGGTCTTGAGTGTTCCCAGTGCAAACCGCTGGCAGGAGGTGGTACTTAGCAAGATGCGGTGGGCAATTGATGCGATTGAAAATTGGGTAAGTAATGACACAAAAAAGTTACTTGCTTGGAAAAGTATTTAATTTCAAATCATGTGATGATTTAGCTTCATAAAGACGCTGACTACCTTTTTATGATGGACATCGACAGTGTCTTTCGATATCGTTTTGGAGCAGAGTCTCTCAGTCGACTGATAGCTGTGCTTCATCGTGGTTATTACAAGGTTGATTTCTTTAATGTCATTGATTGTCTGTTGTATGTAATAATTCAGCAATTTTAAGAATAAGAATAAGTTTGTATACTGTACTGTGGCATCCTAGGCCAGTGTTTCCCACCCAGGGTACAATACTCCAGAGGGAGGGGGTTCTAATGATCATAATAATAATAATTATTAGTATAATTGTCATCTTACAAAATTTGAGATTAAGTTGTTTATATGTTGAACATAATTTTAAACCTGATCTCTTCAAGAAAACCTCTGAATTTAGTCAGAAATGTATAAATTACGAGCTACAGGTTCACATACTCTTTTTGTTACATAAACTGAAAAAAACTGGTTGAGTAGACTGTGAGAATCAGTTGAATCATGTCATCTGGTCTCACAGGACGTCATACCGTCATAATGTCATTCATTGTATTTGACTATGAATATTTAACCAGGATGCAAATGCTAGTAATACTTGATCTATCAGGCTGTATTTCAACGTAAGTATTTCTTACTTTTTTCCCAAACATGTTCTATAAATTTTAAACTCAATCACTCTAATTTAGTGTTAGATGAATCAACTGGTCTTATGTAACTCAACTAAATACAAAGCATGCCCTAAAATAAACTTTACTTAAAGGAAACAATAGGACCAAGCTGTAACTCTGAACCCTACTGGCTTCCTGTAACCACTTGGGAACCAGTGCTGAAGGCTTCTTTAGGCTCTATGTAAATATTACTGTACTTTCTGCTCTTTAACTCAATAGGATACACACCGTGACAGTTTTCCATATGAGCGCCGTCCTGAATCTCGTGCTTTCATACTATATGGAAAAGGAGACTTCTACTACACTGCAGCTGTGTGGGGTGGTTACACAGAAGATATGTACAAGCTGGTCAAGTAGGCTTTTTGTAGATATACTTAATGTTTAATCATGTCTGCAATTAATACTCTGTCTATACTTGGTTGGTATAGACACTGTAATGACAAATCCTTGGAAGATGCTGATAACGGAATAGAAGCTGCATGGCAAGAGGAAAGTCATCTCAACAAGTAAAATTCCAGTTCAGCATTTTTTACACAAGTTATTATATCTCTATATGGTTAAAACCAATTTACTTGTTTGCTTTTTGATAGATACTTTCTATACAACAAACCAACTAAAGTCCTATCACCAGAATATCTGTGGTCGGACTATGATGCTGTTCCCAAGGACATTCACGTTGTCAGGATCTCTCAATTAATCAAGAATTATGCAAAAGTGAGACCAAATGGTGGACAGTGATAAAGTCAGCAGAGAAAGTCAAGGCGTGTAAATGATTGTTCCCTACATATCTGAACAAACACGCAATCTCTGGACACTTGAACAACTTCACCTGCACACAATAATCTATCCCATAATACATCCATGTGTGTGGTGTGTGTGTGTGTGGTGTGTGTGGTGTGTGGGCGTGCTTGTGTGTTTGGATGCGGTACACGAGATTATAGAGTGGGCATGCACCTGTGGGGGCACGGGAAAAAGAGAGGTCTGTTTTGGGAGCCCATATTTTTTGTTGACCGCTATTATAGTTTTGTTTGATTTATTTTTGCTATTTTTCTGGCTTAAGTTTAATCACTCATTTTTTCTTTATATATTCACCACGCATTTTGGCCTGTGACCGCAGCGTTTAGTATGAATTAAATGTCAGCGCAACTGGATCCAGCCTCTCCGTTTTATCTGACCCAACTCCTCTCCGCGGCTTTAGGCAACAGGCAGTCGCTATACCTGGGCTTTTATATATTCTATTTGCTTGGTTTGATCTTTATATGTTTTATTTTTTCATTACACATATATTATCTGCAATCCACCTTTTGAATGTTTTGTTCAATTCTGTTACAGAATTATATTATTTTAACAATTATGGTATTTTTCATTATTACCGGGCTGTTAATCTCTTGTGTAAAAATAGTTGAGGGCTAACCCAAATAGTGAGAGCAAACCCAAGGTAGGGATGGCCAGGCTGGTAAGTGAGGTCAATAGTGGATTCTTCAGCCCAGCGGGGCAACTGAGGGGAGGGCAGTGACCAGAGAGATCCGGGTGCTGTGGTTGACTCCGCTCCAGGTAAAGCGGGCCGCATCGGGGAAAAGACGGTGCGAGTTTTGTTGACAACTTACGGCGATAGCAGCACAGCAGCACAGAGTCACCTTTTCTCATCGAACAGAAAGCGCGCTTAAATGGACTGGTCTCTTCCAGGGATCTACAATAATAACATGTCACCGCTCGGTTGCAGCGGCATTAGCCGACGGTGGGGGGCAGCATTGTGTATTTCAGCATTCAGCAGCATGTATCTAAAAGCAAAAGAAGACTTTTTTTGCGACGAAGCAGTAAAGTGGAACGCTGTTTGTGTTTTGTGTGAAGTGTCCTCTGCGCTTGGAAAAAACTGGTCGCCCTTCAAACTTGAAGTAGGACGAGACGTATATTTGTTGACACAATGGCTGGAACAATTGCTCGTAAAGCTATGGACCATTTGAAGAGTAAGGAGTTCAGGGATTATTTAATGAGGTATGCGTTTCGCCTTGTTTTGTAGTAATATTTAGCTTACTGATAGCACCCCTGCTAGCAACTAGGTAGGTTAACGTGGACAGGTGCATAATAACACCTTAAACATATGATGAGTGCAATCTATACTGCTAAATACAACACTGGATAAGCAGCATTACTGCCATTTTACCAGCTAAACGAAATGCTACGTCCCTTAAGCAAGTGTAATGATTTTTATTGCTAATGTAGTTTTACCAGTTCCAGATAAGAAAGTGCTTAAAACTATAACCTAATATTTATGTTTAAATGACACTGAGGTTTTCCTATTTCTCTCATTGATGCCCGGCCAACTTGGATGTTTATCAGCACGGTATGGAAAGGACTCATGAGATCTCAATATAACAGTATTTAAACGTTTTAAAATCTGGTTGTTTTGTTGTGCAGCATTTTTGGGGACCTGTGGCAAACTGGGGTCTCCCTATTGCCGCCATTGCAGATATGAAAAAGAGCCCTGAGATCATCAGTGGCAGAATGACCTTTGGTAAGGCGCATTTTAAACTGGGGCATGATTACTACTGTTTACCTGTGCGTGTCTCAATGTTTTGACTCAACATATTGAGATTTTGACATTGAGAACAGATGTTAAACTTTTTTTGATTTGTATTATTATTATTTTTTTCATCCCTGAATGACTTTAAACCATCAATAACCTGCAATTGCCTGCTTGATCTGTGCATCCATGTGTATTTCTATTGTGTATAGTGAAGTTATTCCTGAGCTTGTTAATCTTGAAGATTTTCAAGACTGATTTAATTACATATTTTAAATGGTTTCCAGAATTCTTCTGGACATATTAAATAGCCAATCTACATACAGAAACTTAACCATGCTTAAACTGTGTCCAAATGTATTTCTCCACTGTGGAACAAATAAAGAAATTGTATTTGAAGCTCATACGGATACTAATGGTCTTGATCATTAGTATCCGTATGAGCAGATCCGTATGTCTTATCAGAAACGTAATTAATCATGTATCTATTTAGCGTTGATTAAACATGTTTAAATCATCAAATGTATAATTGTTAATTATAGCCACATTTTTTAATGATTCATTTCAGTCTTGGCTGGAGATTTAATACAATTAATATCATGTCAAAGTGGCTTTACCACAGACTTTAAAAAAAATATTTATTTAACCAGAAAAAAAAATCCCATTTCAAGGAAGTCCTGGCCAAGAGGCAGCAAAGTCGCACATAAACACAGCAGACAGATAAAACTACATTAAAATGACAAGTACACACATTAAGTAAAACAATTACAGGTAATTGAGGCAGTCTCAATAACTGAGTTTTGATCCAAAAACATTCAATTTATTCTGCATCAAATGTATGCATTTCTAAGCAACGAATCAGTTAAACGTTATACTGCACATAGTAGTAACCATAAATGTTGGTTTGGAACCCCTACTGCTAATTTGCATTGTGGACTCTTTTTAAAACATTAAATATATTTTTCAGGATTATTGCACTGAATCAAAAATCATGAAAAACACTTACAGGTGCTCATCAAACCTGTGGGCTTGAGATACAATGAAAATAACTGCCCTGACAAAGAATTATGTCAAAATGCTCAATTTTATATTAAAAACACAGTTTTCAGATTGCCTCCTTCCCTATTCATTTTTTTTATTGAGTGTAGGATAGGTTTTTTTTTTACTTTTTAAAACCTCAGTAATTTTTATATGAAGAAGAATAAAACAAAATGTATTTCAGTATTTACAGCAATTTATATTTTCCTGTCTGTGTGCTGCAACACCTACATGTTTCAATTGTCGAACAAATAAATGTACTGTGTATAGTTTAATTTGGGTTCCTAGTTTCTTTGGTGAAATACAGTTTGGTCAAAACCTCAACCACCTTCAGCTGATTAATCTGAGCAGCAGATACATGTGTCCTATTTGCAAATAAACACACTGGCGACTGATTTTAGAACCTTTAAGTTGATTCTTACCTTCCCCGTAATTCAAATTTAACAATGTAAATACAATAAGATGCAAGCAAATTCAACTAATGATGGGTTTTTCTGTCTCTACAGCACTCTGTTGTTACTCACTTTTGTTCATGAGGTTTGCCTACAAAGTGCAACCCCGTAACTGGCTGCTGTTTGCTTGCCACATAACAAACGAAAGCGCTCAGTTAGTACAAGCAAGTCGTCTCATCAAATACAAGTAAGTTTTAGTATTTGTACTTTGATTTATATTATAAAGTTTGCAAAACTGGCTATGTTTCAATAATGCATGTCTTTTCTTTTTCAGTCTTGAGAAGAAGTCATCATAATCACTTTTAATATGAGTCAGAACTTCAAAATTCAGTTTTGACCGAAGATCCCCTTCAGAAAAATTGTAGAAATAAGGTCAAGTCATAGGGTGTACTTCGGTTTTTTAACACATCTGAGTAAATATCATAGACTGTATATATTAAAATAAATAGTCAGTAATTGAGTGATTGTTGGACACCTGAAATACTGAATTTTTTGCTGCACACATCCAATATGATAGAACTACAATTACATTGGTTACATTAGCATCAGCACTGTATGTGCATTTCCACTGTTTGTTACATAATTTCTTTAACCTAATTTAATTGAAGTAATAAAATTATGTCTAACAATTTGAGGTTGAGCACCCCAATTGGTCAAATTTTTTTTGCATTGTATACAATGAATATATGTATAGTCAATTAAGTTATTACTTTTTTGCCATCTCCTTTTTTGTTGTCGTTGACCAAATCTGTGTTGACTCATTCTGATGAATATCTCTAATCTGTTGCATTTTCTCTGAACACACGTAATGGGTTTCATCAAATAAAAACGTTTAATAATCAAGTGTGCTTACTAATACATGATGCTAAAATTAATATCGTAACTGGCAACGGATAAAACAGAAGAAAGTGGATGGAAATATAATCTACGGAAGCTTGTTAGCTTCACTTGTGAGTGTGTTTTTTTCTCTCGCTGGTATCATGTTATTTCATGAAACACAACTATCATGTTATTTCATGAAACACAACTATCATGTTATTTCATGATACCAATTTATCATGTTTTTTCATGATACACAACTATCATGTTATTTCATGATACCAATTTATCAGAAGAAGCTGACAGCTTCTTCTTCTGTATCTACAGTATCATGTTATTTCATGATAAACTGGTATCATGAAATAACATGATAAATTGGTATCATGAAATAACATGATAGTTGTGTATCATGAAATAACATGATAGTTGTGTATCATGAAATAACATGATAGTTGTGTATCATGAAATAACATGATAAATTGGTATCATTAAATAACATGATAAATTGGTATAATGAAATAACATATTTATCATGTTATTTCATGAAAGTATCATGAAATAACATATTTATCATGTTATTTCATGAAAGTATCATGAAATAACATATTTATCATGTTATTTCATGAAAGTATCATGAAATAACATATTTATCATGTTATTTCATGAAAGTATCATGAAATAACATGATACCAGCGAAAAAAAAACAAAAACAAGTGAACCTAACAAGCTTCTGTAATAATCTAATCTATCAATCTTTCTACTATGTATAATGGATCCATTGACATGTTTCCATGAGCTCGAAATATTGCGTGAAAAATTGAGCTAATGGAGTGACCATGTTATAATCATAGATCCATGGTTATAATAGAATAGATCCATGGGAGCGACTGAAGTGTCACACCAGCATGTATCCAGAAGGTGGCGCCAGAGAAGCTGGACAGTGCAGATACAACAAACAAGAAGACATCCAAGATGGCGTCTGTCAACAGTGAGCAGTGGAGAGCCATCTATGAAAAATTCTCCAACGCCCAAAATCTTACTGACGTTAAATCGCTAAATGATCCTAGAAATGACCCGTTCCGCTCCAAATACCAAGCTAGAGAATTACTCAGAGAAATCTATTGCTCCCTGAAGAGTTTCGACAATGTTTCGGACCGTGGTCTTGAGATCAGTGAGCAGCCGCAGGAGGAGGCGGTGGACGGACTTCGTCAAGATGTGTCCACGGAGGCACTGTGCGGGGACTCCTGTGAGGGCATGCGGGTCGCTAAACTCGCTGCAGTAGAGTACTATCTGGGCGTCAACCACATCGACACGGAGGAGCTGCCTGCTGGTCAGGAACACTTGGGAAACTGCATTTCAATGCTAGAAAAATGCACAGTGACGAGCTTTAACGTGTCTCTGATTATTCATGTTAGGGTATGATTACATCATTTGAGTTCGAAATAATCGGTATCGCCCGTGTATATGCATATGCCAATAATGTGTGTTTGCAGAATCAGCTGGGTATCCTTTGGGCTGGCTACGATGAGACCGAGAAGGCTCAAGACTTCCTTGAGGTAGCCGAGTCCAACTACCATCACTATATGAAAGACGTAAGTCTATATAAGTATGTAGTTATTGCCTTTTTAGATAGTTAATTGGGATAGTCAATTTAATTTTTTTGAAAGACACTGTTCTTTTATTTCAATATCGACACTGGCATGAAACTGTACCACGGGCTTCTCTATGTTTATAAACTCAGCTGTCTTTGTATTTTAAGTGGATCAGCCATAACTTGTTTTCATTTGTAACACAAGTTGTTTGTAAACCTTGTTTCATTTGTCATGGTGGTAGCAGTTAAAGCAAAGACACCCAGACTTTCCGGGAATCTCGAGGTGATCCCAGGCCATTGTGCAGCCTTTGCTAAAAAAGCACAATTTGGACCCATCTGTCTTGTCCAATTTTAGGCCTATTTCTAAACTGCCTTTTCTATCCAAGGTTCTAGAAAAGGTAGTTCTTAACCAGCTCCAGTCGCACCTTAAATCAAATGATATTTTAGAAAAATTTCAATCTGGGTTTAAATCCTTGCACAGCACAGAAACTGCACTGTTGAAAATTTTTAATGATCTTCTTTTAATCTCTGACTCCGGAAGCCCCTCGGTGTTAGTGCTTCTAGATCTGACAGCAGCATTCGACACTGTCGATCATAACATTCTTATCTCCCGCCTTGAGTCCTGTGCTGGAATTAAAGGCACAGCACTCAAGTGGTTCCACTCGTACCTGTCCGATCGGGTGTTTTCTGTAAATCTCGGCTCTTGCAGCTCAAAGAAAGCCTCCCTTGACAGTGGTGTACCGCAGGGTTCCGTTTTAAGACCAGTTTTATTTTCACTGTACATGTTGCCCTTGTGGCTCGATATTCAAAAAGCATAACATTTCATTTCACTGCTTTGCTGATGATGTTCAAATCTATTTGCCTTTGAATGTGAATTCCGATTCCGTCCAAGCACTGCAGAAATGTCTTGACGATGTAAAAGACTGGATGTCAATCAATTTTTTAAACCTGAATCACACAAAAACAGAAATTGTACTGTTTGGTGAACCTGATCCGTCTGTTTTCAACGGTGTGTCTAGCCTGTCTTCCTACTGCCGCCCACTTGCAAAAAACCTTGGTGTGTATTTTGATGGTGCTTTTAAAATGGACAAACAAATAAGTTCAGTTGTCAAAGCCAGCTTCTTCCAGCTGAGACTGTTGACCAAAGTTAAAGGCTATCTTCCACCAAATGACCTTGAGAAGGTTGTCCACGCCCTCATATCCACACGGCTGGACTATTGTAACTCTTTATACTATGGCCTTGACCAGTCCTCAGTCCACAGACTGCAGCTGGTACAGAATGCAGCAGCTCGGATGCTGACTGGCACCAGACGACACGAGCACATCACTCATGTGCTGTCGTCTCTACATTGGCTTCCTGTCGCTTTTAGAATTAAGTTTAAAATGTTATTGTTAGTATTTAAATCTCTGCATGACCTGGCTCCGTCATATCTGACTGACTTGCTTACTTTGCACACCCCGGGAAGAGCACTGAGGTCCTCTGACCAGCTTCTTCTGCACTGTCCCAGGTCTAGATTAAAAACCAGAGGAGACCGAGCCTTTGCTGTGGCAGGGCCTAAACTCTGGAAAGCTCTCCCTTACTCCATCAGAGCTGCCCCCTCTGTAGAGAGTTTTAAATCGCAGCTAAAGACACATTTCTTTGCTTTGGCTTTTTAACACAAGCAATGTTGAAACATTTATGATGGTGTCCTGCATTTTATTTTATGCTGAATGTTATTTGTGTCTTGTATTTTTACAATGTCTGGTAAGCACTTTGTGACAGTCCTGTCTGTTTTTAAAATGTGCTATATAAATAAACTTGACCTTGACCTTGCTTCTTTGGGCCTTGCACCAAGGAGGCATTCGCCCCTTGAACTGGCTCCTCTTGACGTGGAGTATTGTAGCAGCGACTCTACTCTGAGCTCTTCACCCTTCACCCTTTCTCCATGATTCTGATTATTCAATTAGTTGACCTTGGTTCAACTGGATCTCTAGTTCAACTGGATCACTTCAACCACTCACCATCATGACCTTTGGACTCAAATGAAACAACATTCTATATGTATTTATTTATTGACTAGACGCCTAACCACCCTGTGTTTTCCCCAGGATGGGAGTCCTCCCATTGACATGACTGATTACTTTTGTGCTGAAGAAAATATGTTGACACACCAGGAAAGAGTCAGAAGGTAGTCCAGTTGTCTCACTTTGTAAAATGAAAAATATTGTAAAAAATATTATGTTGAAGAATATTAACTGGAAAATCTTTGTTTAACAGATTTGAGCTGGCTTACACCCACACAATGTATTACCTCGCCCAGGTATATAAAAACCTTGGTGAGTTCATGAATCTTCTAATCTTGTAATATTTTAAAAACTGATGTGTAAATTTAATGACACATTGTGTTCAGGTCAAACTGAACGAGCCGCCACATATTGTCACAGTACTCTGCAGAGACAACTCAAACTAAATCAATACAATCCGATGGAGTGGGCTTTAAATGCTGCCACGCTGTCACAGTATTACATCACAAAGGTATCTGACATTTTCTTGCCGTTTTTAAATTTCATTATTTGTCATGTTTACCCTATTGTTTGGTCATAGGGCCGCTATCTTGAAGGAAGACATTGCCTTTCTGCTGCGACTGTTATATCTGGTTTAGCTGCTGACATTCCCTCTGAGGCTGCAGCACAAGAAAGTAAGTATAGTCTCCCTCTGAATGTTCTGAGATAATTCAAATGTGTTCTTCTCGGATTTCTCCAATGACTCAAATTGCCCTTCATCCGTTTCAAAGGCGAGATAGAGAGTGAACGTAGAGAAACACTCAGACAGAAGAGATCTGAGATTGCAAGATGTTGGATCAAGTATTGTCTGAATTTGCTGCAGGATGCTCGGAAACTCCTGGAGGTACATTTGTTTTGTTCTCAAATACTAAAAACGTATAACATTATTAAAATAAACTTAATCGCATTGGCACTCCAGAAGAAAAAATCCTCTGCACTGTGATATAAACTGTGCTCAGATATGCCATCTTTTGATACAATTTGCTAATCTTGTTTTTTTGTGGCAAGGACAACATTGGTGAGCTAGATTCAGATCGCCAAGACGAGCTGAGAAATTCAAGACGACGAGCGGAAGAGGAGGAAGAAAAGGGAAGGAAGAGTACTCTGCTGTTTGACTCTGATGACACTTTTGAATCTATTGCCAGCCTGGAAGAAAAGGTGCAGACAACATGACAGGATTCCACTCATTTTACCTTCAGCACTATAACTCTGTTTCCTCTTATCAGGTACAATGTTTGTTCCCTCTGGATTTTACTGAGGCCCGTGCTGTATTCCTTGTGGGACAGAACTATGTAACGCAGGTAGTTATTTTGTATTTGCTATCTATTTCTCCATCAAAGACTATAACAGGGCTTTGATTCTGGGAGCAGGTTTTACCTGGAACCTTTTATAAAATGGTTTAGCATTTTAAATTACTTATTTCATGGTCATTTTCAAGGTAATCTCTCGCAAATTAATCTAGCCTATTTTGTTCAAAATGCAAAAACGATGGACATAATGGCCATATTGCCAAGCTTGGTTTCCATCTAGAGAACAGAATTGACATCTCACAAATCGTGTGTGTGTGTGTGTGTGTGTGTGACAAGTAGGGCAAACCATTGGCAACAAATAATTATAATTAAAGTAACTTTGTAAAAATCACTTTGATCTAAAACTACATACATTTGTAAATTTCTCCTGTGTGAGATCAATAAAGTCTATCTTGTCTTATACTGTTCCTTTAAAACTGGAATCTTGAGTAAGACAGAATGTGAGCGAGGTTTACGCCACAATGAGACGAGTGAGGTTAGTTTTATGCAATGGTAATCCAATTACATTTTGCAATGTTTATGCCATGATGTGGATGGGACATTCCAGACAAAGAGAGCACCTTTCATTTTGTAAATTAAAACTTTGTGCAGAAAGCACATGCTCTTTGAGACTTTCTCTGTCACAATCATGCCATTGTCCTACAAATAGAACTGTTTTTCACTTTCATAAACAGTCTTTTCAAGACTGTTTATGAAAGGCTGGAGAAATTGTGTTGAGGTTGCCGGCAGTAAATCTGTTTCTAATTTATTGGAATTGCCAGACCCAGGAATCAAACAGTTACAAGCTAATAAACGCACATAATCAAAAAACACTTCATTAATGCCTCCATTCAAAATCTATTATTTTTCTGATTACATTTTTACTCAAAATGTTTTGGTGTTGGGTTAATTTAATTTAACTGATAGCCTTACAGTGTTTAGTCCCTCTTCCCTATAGCATAAAACTTTGGGTCTTAGTTATAATATTTGTTTGTTTTTATTTCAGGCAAAAGAATATTTCCAGATGGATGGATATGTGACAGACCACATTGAAATTCTGCAAGATCATAGTGCTTTGTTTAAAGCATTGGCCTTTTTTGAGGAGGACGTTGAACGACGCTGCAAAATGCATAAGCGGAGAGTTGACATGTTGGAACCTATCTGTAATGGTAAGAATTGGTTAAAATTTTCTGTTTTAAACCTCCTATCGTCCTATCGTCTGACCACATTCATTGTTTATTATTCAAACAACATCAGTTGACTTTTTTCATGACTTTTCCTAATTTGATGTGGAAAACTGATAAAGCGTATTTTTATTACTTGCTGAACATGTGTTGCACGCATTGGTGGTCCTCCGGGGTCCGTTTGCAAGCTGCTTTTACTATAAAAACTTACACATAAATATGTTTATGAGGAAAGGGAAGCAACCAACGTTTGATCAACATGGTTAATTTTGTGAGAATCATAAATGTGCTCTAAACCTGAACGTTTGAACTGATGGTGGCACTACAGGAAAGGTCAAATCCATCATCAAAACCAGACTTGTGGTCATTCATTTTGAGACGATTTGAAATGATTTCGATGCAAACTTCAAGATAAATTGATTCTAATTCAGAGGTTTGGCCTATGGGTGGGGCTAGAGGATAGGTTTTCTAGGGGTAATTTATGTATTCTCTAAATAAATAATTTGTCTGTTACGAAAGCTTTCTAGAGGTAATGATCTCTGGGGTCAGATTGCCCTTAAAGACCAAATGTGTGGTTATGTTTGAGGAAGATAGGAGGGTTTATTTTATTGCTGCTGAATTTACTGGAGCTGTCCACACAGACAAAATGGCTAATGCTCTCGAAAACGAAATTGCTTAAACACGGAACGAAGTCCGCAAATGTCTTTCTCCACTGAGCATCAAAACACCTGAAAGTACTGCAATGCATGTATCAGGCCTGATGGTGGCGCCACTGGAAAACATGTGGAAAGTGCCATCTTCAGATGAATGAAACACCCTCTGTGTGGACATTATCTGAATAAGGCAACACATTTCTACTTATGTCAGTCTGCTCGAGCTCTCACTAACTGTGTGTTGTAACTAACAATACACCACCATATGAAGTACTCATTCTGATTGCATACACACATTAAAGTTCTCATCAGAATGTCTGGAGTCACAAAACATAAAATAAGTGTGTTAAACCCTATTTGAATTGGGACAGTGCATTTCAATTGACACGTGTTTTTAAACATGTAAATGTGCCAGAGTTGGCCATGAAGGCTAATTTTCATCCGTAGTCCCATGGCAGGTTGATATCAAAACGTATAAAATACACATACAGTAGGCACAAACACACAGACACACACCATCACAAAGACATAACAAAACAGGGTATGTAACATGTTGTAAGATATGTAAAATAGACAAATTAACTCAAATAAAAATAAAATAAGATCAGAGGACAATACACAAAACACCACCATTTTCCACACAGCTAGGTATCAGTAGTTGTGACTTTAGAGCATGTGTTCACATTTCTGATTGTCCACAAGCCACTTCTTTACAGAGTTTTTAAAAGTGTGGATCGAGATCAGGAGTGTGCTGCTCAAACTGAGAAGGCAGATTGTCCAAATAAAGTCTTTCAAAATGGGTTTTTAGTGTGTTTGAGTTTACATCCAGCTGTATAAACTCCTGCAATGGAGGCGGGGAAAGTCCATTTAGAGTTTTATATACAATAATTACGTCTGACTACGTTATCAAATTTTCCTACTTCAAAAAAATGATGTTTGCTAAAGACTTTACAATAGTGAAAATAATAGTTCTTTTAGTGTAATGTTTTTACTGTCTTCTTATTAAATCTTTCTATGGGCAACAAAGTGGTCTTATTGGCCGGAGACCAACTCATTTATATGCAAGAGAATTGTTAATTGTTAATTTAAACACATTTCTTATGTGTTTAAAATCCACCAAATTTTATTTTATTTTGTTCCTCAATTTTTTAACATGGTTTTTAAATGATAATTGAGAATCAATGGCGATGCCTAAATACTTATACTCTTGCACCACCTGTAGTGCTTGCCCATCTAACATAACATAATGTTAAAATTTTTCCAGTTAATTGAGAATTTTTTTCAAACTTTTAATTGTAGAGAGCCTTTCCTATACACAGGACAACACAAAGCACCTCACAACCCACATCACGCAAATCATAAACATTAAAATCTACATATACATTAGAAAAGTCAATTAAAATAGATTAACATCCCAAGAAATATTAAAAACAGAAAAAAATTACTAGTAATTAAAAACCGTAAAACATTAAACCCGAGACCTTGTTGTGAAGCAGGAGCGCTAACCACTCAACCACAGTGTCGCCTAAATAATTGGAACGCACACAGCAACATGGCTGTTCTTAAGGTGGCAGGAGCAAAAAACATAGAAATTACATTCACATCGTCTTGACATATCCCAAAGGGGTACAGTATATTGCATGATCATGCAGTCGAGGGTGGAGGTCTGTAGACCATCATTATGAGAGAATTCATGCAAAAAATACATATTTTAAAATTACTTCGGTAATTATTACTTCAAGCTGATGTTGTAATGATTTTTGTGAGAGTGTGAAAGTGGGCAAGATTATACATGTGTGTAAACATATTTTTGTGTTTATTTTCACCCCTCACAGAACTGAATGCTCGTTACTACCTTATGATCCGACGTCAATTGATGTTTGAGTTGGCTGAGACATACAATGACATGATGGATCTAAAACTCGCTCTAGCCAATAGACAAGACGACACACAGTCCTTAGACAGTCACACCATAAAGAAATTCAACCATCTCTGCTCTTCATCTGCAAAGTAAGTGAAGAGAAAAAGACAAAGATGTTGCTTCTTGCCCATAAAAACCGTGTCTGTTTCAAATGCAGGTTCTTTGAGATGTTCCTGGACTCCTTGCGGTCTCCAGAGGGGAAGATGCCAGAGGTTCTGGAAGAGGAGGTGCTCAGACCTGCCCTTGTGGCTCGTTTTAGAGTTGCAAGACTTCACAGCCGCCTCATCAGCTCTTCACCAACTGTTCAACTGGACAATCTTAACAAAGCTTTGGAAAACTACAAGTATGTCTTCTCACAGCATTTCTTTCCTAAATATTATCATGTCATCTATGAATTGTTTATAATGTTTTTGGTTGTTGTGTAGATATGTGGTTCAGTACTGTGAGGCTCACCCGGAGGCAGGAGCAGCTGTGGAGATAGAACTGGAACTCAGTAAGGAGATGGCCGGCCTGCTGCCACTCAAAATCAATCGACTCAAAGCAAGAATGGGTTCTAATAACTAATCATTGTCGTTTCCTGAAGTCCTGGGCCAAAAATATTAGCTTTTAATTGCTCAAATTAAAAATGTTCATCTATTTATTTTGTATTTATTTTTTTCTGCTGTGCCACAATATCCTTGGATCTGCATGAATTAATGTCTTGTATATTTTCCAAACTTGTGACAGTAATTGTAGCAAAGTTAAGCAAACTCTATGTAACTGTGCCACTATGAAAACTTTAAACTCTTTTATGACTGGACCATTGCGGTTAAAAAAAATGGTGGCCTTAACCATCTATCTCTCCAAAAAAAAAAAACACATATTAACATTCACCCACAAAATGCACCCTTTTGAACAAAACCTTGAAATGTGCCTAGGTGTAACTGCAAATATGTGCATTTGTGATTTATGACTACACTTGTCACTGATATAATAGATTTCTAGCTGAAGCTAAATTGTTTGGCTGAAATTTGTTGCTACATTTTGCACAACGCTCATTACTATCAGAAACATCCATATTCTATGTTCAGAGGTCCATGATGTAATAAAGGACTTTACTGACTACAGAATGCCTCAATTCTTTGACTGCAAGTCAAGACTCAACAAGACTTAGTGCACCTGTATTCACTAAAATCTATATTTTATATAAAATATATAATATGTATGCGTGTGTGTGTGTGTGTATGTATATATATATATATATATATTAGTACCTTGCGAAAGTATTCGGCCCCTTGAACCTTTCAACATTTCAGGCTTCAAACATAAAGATATACATTTTTTTGTCTTGAATCAACAAGTGGGACACAATCGTGAAGTGGAACAAAATTTATTGGATAATTTAAACTTTTTTAACAAATAAAAAACTGAAAAGTGGGGCCTGCAATATTATTCGGCCCCTTTACTTTCAGTGCAGCAAACTCACTCCAGAAGTTCAGTGAGGATCTTTGAATGATCCAATGTTGTCCTAAATGACTGATGATGATAAATAGAATGCACCTGTGTGTAATCAAGTCTCCGTATAAATGCACCTGCTCTTTGATAGTCTCAGGGTTCTGTTTAAAGCACAGAGAGAACCATGAAGACAAAGGAACACACCAGGCAGGTCCGAGATACTGTTGTGGAGAAATTTAAAGCCGGATTTGGATACAAAAAGATTTCCCAAGCTTTAAACATCTCAAGGAGCACTGTGCAAGCAATTATATTGAAATGGAAGGAGTATCAGACCACTGCAAATCTACCAAGACCCGGCCGTCCCTCCAAACTTTCATCTCAAAGAAGGAGAAGACTGATCAGAGATGCAGACAAGAGGCCCATGATCACTCTGGATGAACTGCAGATAACTACAGCTGAGGTGGGAGAGTCTGTCCATAGGACAACAATCAGTTGTGCACTGCACAAATCTGGCCTTTATGGAAGAGTGGCAAGAAGAAAGCCATTTCTCAAAGATATCCATAAAAAGTCTCGTTTAAAGTTTGCCACAAGCCACCTGGGAGACACACCAAACATGTGGAAGAAGGTGCTCTGGTCAGATGAAACCAAAATCAAACTTTTTGGCCACAATGCAAAACGATATGTTTGGCGTAAAAACAACACAGCTCATCACCCTGAACACACCATCCCCACTGTCAAACATGGTGGTGGCAGCATCATGGTTTGGGCTTTTCTTCAGCAGGGACAGGGAAGATGGCTAAAATTGATGGGAAGATGGATGGAGCCAAATACACGACCATTCTGGAAGAAAACCTGTTGGAGTCTGCAAAAGACATGAGACTGGGACGGAGATTTATCTTCCAACAGGACAATGATCCAACAATAAAGCCAAATCTACAATGGAATGGTTCACAAATAGACGTATCCAGGTGTTAGAATGGCCAAGTCAAAGTCCAGACCTGAATCCAATCGAGAATCTGTGGAAAGAGCTGAAGACTGCTGTTCACAAACGCTCTCCATCCAACCTCACTGAGCTCGAGCTGTTTTGCAAGGAAGAATGGGCAAGAATTCCAGTCTCTCGATGTGCAAAACTGATACCCCAAGCGACTTGCAGCTGTAATTGCAGCAAAAGGTGGCGCTACAAAGTATTAGCGCAAGGGGGCCGAATAATATTGCACGCCCCACTTTTCAGTTTTTTATTTGTTAAAAAAGTTTAAATTATCCAATAAATTTCGTTCCACTTCACGATTGTGTCCCACTTGTTGTTGATTCTTGACAACAATTTTTTTTATATCTTTATGTTTGAAGCCTGAAATGTGGCGAAATGTTGAAAGGTTCAAGGGGGACGAATACTTTCGCAAAGCACTGTATATATACAAGTATTTTGTCAGCCACCGATTGTGCAAGTTCTCCCACTTAAAATAACTGCATATATATATGTATATATGCATGTATATATATATACATATGCATGCATATATATATATATATATATTTATACATATATATATATATATATATATGAATATATATATATGAATATATATATATGAATATATATATTCACATATATATATATATATATGTGAATATATATATATGAATGTATATATATATATATATGTTGTTTGAAGAGTTACAGAGCATTACTCATCGTCTTTTTAGATATCACATTCTTCATGCAGTAATGAATATGTCAGATTGACCAAGAGAGTACATTATTGCTCAATGTTGGGTGGGATCTCAACGTGCAATTTCCTGAGGATAAATGAAAACTGCTGCCACTTCTGGTCCATACTCAGTGGGTATTTCAGATGAAAATAATACCACTTATTTATTTTCTTGCTTGAGGATGAACTGTAAAAGAGAACTGAGAATAATATGTTGCGAGAGACCGAAGAACCCCAACTGGTCAAGATCCAAACAGACGTAGGTTAGAACTATGTTAGGTCTATTATTGGATAGTAAAGTGTTCAGTGCTCTCTTATTCAACTTTGTAATGTATTGAATATATTGAGCCTTACAACCTAGTGTGCGTTCATGTGTGGGAGGAAATGATAAAACTACTGATTACTGACATCGCATGATCATGATGAAACATGTCTATTCAGCAGCTTCAGAAATGTCACCACCACACATTTCCCAAAACTCACGTCAAGGCGATTGGCTGATGTTGAAATAATCCATTAAATAGACATATATTTCCAACCTGTTAAAGCAGATTTTTTATATATACATTTAGATTTGAACCCAAATGTTGTTGTTTTAGTTTAAAAAAGAAAGAAAAGATGGTGCACTTTGAGTTGCCTTGTGTATATATTGTGCAATACAAATAAACTTGCCTTGTCTTGCCTTCGATCCCACGTGAGACACCGAGGTAAAGTAGCCCCGCTTTTCGCCAGCCGCAGTAAAGAGGTCCGCACATTGAAAGCGGTTGGCGCCTGTATGCTGTTACTTACGGTAAACGTGGATGGGGAAGCCGAGACGACGAGCAAACAAAATAGAATAAACAAATAACAATCATTAAAAAGAAGTTTTGCGACTACTTTCACTGCACACTTGTACGCTGTGATACCCTCTACTGTGCAGAGTAATATTCACTTTTATCGTAGATATTCAGAGGAAATTGGGGTCAAAGTGTGCATATTTGGTCCCAAAAGCACTTTTCAAAAATCATTTTAAATGTTTAAAAAATAGTTCCCTGACTACTTTCACTGCACATTTGTACGCTGTGACGCCTTCTACCACTGCGCTCAATAACATTCACTTTTACTGTAGAAATTCAGAGATAATTGGGCTCAAAGTGTGCATATTTGGTCCCAAATGCACTTTTTAAAATTAATTTTAGAAAAATCGAACAAAGTTCCCTGACAACTTTCACTGCACACTTGTTCACTGTGATACCCTCGACCACTGTGCAGAGTAACATTCACTTTTACTGTAGAAATTCAGAGATAATTGGGATCGAAGTGTGCATATTTGGTCCCAAAAGCACTTTTCTAAAATCATTGTATTTATTTCAAAATAAATTATAAAAAAAAAGGGCATCACAGTTAACACGTGTGCAGTAAATGTAGTCAGGGAACTTTAAAAAAAAATAAAAAAAAATTGTTTTATTCGAAAAGTGCTTTTGGGATGTTTGCTCATGGTTTAATAGAATGATCTGTTTTCTGAAAATAGTCCACTTAAAAACAGAAAAGAAACGTTCACTGGGCACAAATATCTTTACATTTTACTTCACCCTATGCGCCGGTGTTTTTTTTTCTGAAAGTCAAAAAACTTTATTAGAGAAGACTACTAAAACAAAAGTAGTACAAGTACATAAGGAAACGATGACACACGTTTGAAAGTGTAATGGCTTCTAAAATCTGGAGTTCTATTTAGCATTATAATGATCTGCCTGAATGACTGCCTCTCCTCCTTTCGTAAAGTGATAATGGTTGTGTTTGTTTGTTGAAAAATAAATTGATGAAATATGGTCTTTACACTTGTCATTCACATAACTCCTGATCACATTTTATCTTTGTTTTTCAACTCAACTCTTTCAAATGCTGCTGCTAATAACAAGTAAAACAATAACGCCCTTGCTTTGCCATCATCAACACAAACACATCGGTCGCATCTCGCCCGTGATCCGCAGAAACTGATAACTGCTGGCATTTCCTCATCGCATCGCGCAGTTACGCAGTTATCTGATATTTGTGGGCCGTGCAAACTTTCCACTAAGATGTTCAGACCCTTCTCTCTGCGCAGAGTCTAGAGGAAACCATGACGCATTCTGGGGGCTGAGCTCCTCTGCTGTCTGGATGTCAAAAGCACAAAAGCATTGACATTTTTCTTCACAGTGGATTAACCGTGACCTCTCCCGCGTACGGATCATCGTATCGGCATCCAGAGAGGAATATGATTGTGTTTCTCGTTGTCGTCAGCCTCGCCCTCAGCGGTGGACTGGGTAAGATCATATAATATAATAAAATAAAATACATGGGTTTAGCCTTGTAGTACTCTTCACTGTGAAATGTAAACAGACCTGAGGGACATGCGCGCAGAACATCCTTAATGACATATGGTCTAAACAGCGCTTGAAAACATCTGTAAGCACTCAAACTATCCACAGCTGTATACTCGCTACACGCGGTCTATGCTCTTGTCACTGCTCAGTATGTTGAGGAAGAACTTTGAAGATATCAGGGGAACATCAAGGGAAACCACCTTTTTTTTTGCAAACTTTTTTGTTTGATAAATAATACATTTTGTTTGTCCAAACAGAAAGTGTCTTCTAAAAGTAAAACGTTGCTGCCATCAGCTTAAAAGAAATCATGTTAAATTTGGCATGCTTGTAAAACAGATTATCTATTTGCCACTTTGGGACTAAGAGCTGATTGGCTGAGTGGGGGTGGTCCTCTCGTTTTCACCAAGCCATCTGCAAAACATATGACCGAGGCCAAAACTACATGAATGTAAAAACTAAAGACACTGAACCACAGAGATACCATATAGATGTTATTACAGAGTTAGATACTCCTGGTTTAAGTTGAGTAATGTGAAGTTATAAAGTTACATGCCCATAAATGATAAGACAGTAGTTACGTATAGTCTTTGAAAGGAAAAAAAAGTGCTCAACCTTCTAAACTATTAAATGTACATATAGGCTACACTGTTTTTTCTTAGAATCTCTGAAATTACTTGAAATGCAATTTATTAGAAAAAAGGTAAACATAATTATATACTGTTTGTGAAGTTAGTGAAAATCAATATGCAGCCCTATCCTTGGGTTTCATAGAGGTTAAACAGGAGGGCTTTGTAGTTATTCAACAAAACATATCTGTTGAATTGAAACGTGGTCTTTAAAACGCATAAAATACAAATATGGATGAATACAAAGTGATGTAACTTGATTTCTACAGGGGCACCCACCACTGCGGTGTACAAGTTTGTCAAGTGTAACCCTGAGGGAGACCAAGCCAACTGCATCACGCACCAAAGTACCAACATGGAGTGGAATCCGGATTTACCATCAAAACTCCCCGCCTCGGCTGCCCAGTACCTGTGAGTGAACAGAGAACAGTCACATATGGAATTGCCTCAGTGTGTATTCAAGTGTTTGTCTGCCAGAAAGTAAGTGGCAGGTATGGTTCCAACAAACCCAAAATAGTAGACAACGTGGAGAGATAAGAATAATGACTGGTATGTGATTATAGGTTCTACTGAACTGGACAGACAAAGTGTTGAAATAATGAATGTGTGATGATGGCTATAGTTAGGCTGTAACAAGTTAATACATTTATCACAACTAATAGATTATTTAAATAGTTGTTTTCGTAGTAATTCACTTAATGCTATTTTAGTATTCAAATAATTGGTTTTCGAACCTTCCATAGACTAAGAAGAAGTTCTATGACTCAGATAATGCGCTAATGACGGCAGAATGATTTGAAAATGTGTTTTCAAAGTAATTTTAATCAAACAGCCTGATCACATCACTTACTTACTTTTTTGTATTTCCCTGTGCAAAAAAAACCAAGAAAAGAAAATCAATTAAAGGGTAAACCTTTTTTATAAAAAATAAATAAAATAAGTACATTACCAAACCGCTTCTAGTGTTATTATAAATGTGTACTAAGGTGACTAAGATGATTAATTGGAGGAGAGGTCATAATGCAAAACAAGAAGTATTATTGATGTAAAAAGCCTCATTTTTTGAGAATAAAATAAATTAAAACACGTTCTCACAAAGGATATTAATAAATCCACCCAGCCCAATGTATTTGAACCGAGTTTGTATTTAATATGATTCCTACTTGAAAATATGAATAGTTTTCTATTGCGGCCTACACAGGAAGTGAAGGGGAAGTGCTCAGAGGAAGTGTGGCTGTGACGCCTTTGACTCCAGCTATGCTCTATTGTTTAGTATATTTACTCTTCTCAAAAAATAATTTTTCCAACATAAATAATAAAATATATAAGATTATCATAAACGCCTTTATTATACCATTGCCTTCCTCAGGCTGCTCAGATATGCACACCAATTCTAATTCAAAATCACAATTTTGGTGACTATTTTTAACAACAAATACTTAAATTTAATGAATTGTCTTGTTTCATGTTAGGTGTAAAACCTTAGCCATCCATAAACTCAATTATTATTCCCCTACATGAAATTTGTACAATGGTGTGGTAAGACCAGGCAATGTTAGGTGTATTGTGCCTATGTTTTATTTAACTCTAACATGTCTATTCAATGTTAGATGTAAGTCAGCAATATTTATTCATATCTCCTTTCAGAGACTTCGAGTCACAAGGCGCAATTTATGAGGGCATTTTTTCCTTTCAATTTGCACACAGTGACAGAGATGCAACCAAACCCTTCAGCCACCAATCAATCACTCACTCATACATTCTTTCTCATTGAATGTGAACTAACTGACAAGCGTGTCATATTGTAATATGTGGATCACCACGAGTTTTGTGACAGTAAATTGGCAAGAGATTTCCTTTGCCAGACAGTGCACTCATGTTTGATGCTTTCAGAGAGGCTGAGCCGGAGGAGGATGAGCGAGATGCAGAGGAGGAGTATCCTGAGGATTACGAATATCCAGTGGAGGAGGAGGAAAATCCAGAAGAGGAGGAGTATCCTGAGGAAGAGGAGGAGGAGGAGGAGTACAAGTCTCCGGAGGTCTATATATCTGAGGGCGGCTCTGGGGACGAAGGCTCTGGCTTCATGGTGGACTTGACCATGGCTGAAAATGGCTCTGGAGAACGCATGGACATACAAACCAAAGGTAAACTGTCTTAAATACAGTATTTCATGGAGATGATCACAGTCCAGCCTACTTTTTCCTGATGTATTTTATTAATTTTTTCAGGTGGCCGTATCATTTATAAGCAAAACTGGGGGGACATACTTGATGAACAAAAACCAGCCAAGGAGGAAATGAAGGAAGACCATCTTCTTCATCTGTAAAACGCAATCATGTTATTGTATCATAACAAATGTGTGTATGTATGTTGTAGTCCACAATGTGCCAGTATTTTTGGTGGTGTATACAGTGAACACACCAAGCGCCGCTACAAATGACAGTCTGTTCTTCTGCAATTAACTCATCTTTTGCTCATTCCTCAAGTTTCACCCACAAATGTGTTGTTTTTTTGTAGCCCATGTAACGTTTGAGGGATTTGAACATATTCCATCAGAGATTATACAGTATGATTTCATCTGAACTCATAGGCAAGACAATTACCTGTGAACAGAAAGAGGAGGGATTGCACAAGATGATTTGTAAGAAAATTATTTTAATAAACTACAAATAAAATATTTTATAATTTTTACAACGCTGTCTTTTCTGTTGGGTAAAAATAAGTTGGTCAGTTGAGCTTTAGAGTTCATATCTAGATATTATATTTAACTGTAACTAACATTTATTTTTGATAATTGATGAATCTACTGGTTACTTGATTATTAGAGCAGACATATTTATATCTGTTTGATTTTATCTCAATTTAATTAATCTAAAAAGAAGCCACCCACTTCTATTACCAGATTATTTCACATTAATATTGTATGTAAATGTTATGTTAAAATAATTCTCACAACACTGACTTGTATTGAAATTGTTAACTAGAGTTCAAGATTCCAGTTTAATTTATTGCATCCAGGAGGATATTTTCCTGGACTCACAGGCTGCTACAATGAAAATACACATATGACAAACATAGAACACAATACTGACATAAACCAACCCGCTCTGCTCGATGGCCTGGAGTTTCATGGATAATGGAGCGAATGAGTTCTTTCCTTAGTTTTAGTTGGTACTCAGCGGGAGGAGGGGAGATGCTCATAAGAGTGAAGAACATGTGAGGGGTCTGAGGTGATTTTCTTCAAGAGAGTCTGGCTGCAGACTCCCCCCCTTGCAGACCTCCCTGTTCAGCCTCCTCCTTCAGGAGCCCCTGACTTCTCTCAGTTTAGGGAGACCGGTTTTGACCCGGACAGTGAGGAGCAAGACAACATATTGGAGCCCTTCAAGTTTGTCTTCTCTCATATTGAGGACATGGAAGTCTTTTCTGTCGAATGTGTGGATAAAAGGGGTTATGTGAAATGTCCAGTATTGCATCACAGGAAAATCAAAAATGTGTTTAGACTTGTATAGGTCAAGCTTACTCTTATTCCTCTAGAAATTAATAGAAAAGAAATATTGGATACCTCCATCCATCCATTTTCTACCCTTTAATCCATTTCTGGGTCAGGGGGGTGGCAATCAGAGATGCCACCCAAGTCTCATAGCACCAGCCCCTCACTGACCCTCTGCAGGTGGTGAGTCCACAGGAGGACTATATTATAGAACGTATATTGGATACCTATGTAACTTTAATGCTGTTGCGAGAATAATAATATGAATGGAATAAGCATCTAGAAGTTGCAGCTCTTTATTATAATAAAGCCTCGCCATGGTATCTCACTATCTCCTACCATATATATTGTATTTTTGTCGTGTTTTCTTGTTCTATACCACGGGTGACATATAGATGGTGCTCTTGTAAACAAATGGCAACAGAATTGTACTTTGGCATCCCAAATGCCCAGATGAAAACAGCGATGGCTCATATACATAATACCTGGTCACAATTTGTGGAACAAACGTCACTATTTTTGTTTGTTACAAAATATATACAATATGTTATATATAGGCTTTATAACTTTATGAAGAAAAACGTTTTCAAGTCCCGGGTAAGTGACATGACAGGAGCTCATGGCGAGGGTCATGTGACAGGGGCTCCTGAAGGAGCTCACGTAACAGGGGCTGAACAGGGAGGTCTGCAGCCAGATGCCTCTCATTTTCTTTGGTTGTCCATTAACAGTCAAATATCTGTTTTAATGATGGATGCTCAGGGCTATGGGCCTATAATCATTATCCTCTTTAGGGACGGGTGTTTTAGGGACAGGGATGATGTGATGTGAAGTTTTCCATTGTGATGGTATAATGTGTGAATCCACCGACTATTGGAAAACGGAGGACCAAGCTGGTGAGAGTTCATCAGCACATGTCTTCAGGAGGAAGGCTAACTGTACCATCGGGGCCAGTAGCTTTATTGGTATTAAAAGTCTTAAAGACAGTTAGCAGTTGATTACTAAAATAGTTGATGATTATTGAACAAATATATGATTAATTGATTAACCAATACAGCCCTAAACTAAAAGTATGTTGCTTCAGAGAGTATTGTAGTCAAAGAATCAGAAAAGGAGCGGTGTATGTTCTGATTCAGAACATAGATACATTTAATAAATGTATATATGTACAATGTATGTATAGTTTTTTTTTTTAAATCAAGCCAACAAAGACTGTATTTGTAAATAAAAGATATATAAAAATTGCCAAGCTGTTCAGTAATATTTAGCTGAAAACAAGCAACAATAATCCAAACTCAATATGAGTTTGCAATCATTTAGGCAAAATACCTTCATGATAAATACATTTAAAACAGCCACAGATGCAGATGCTCTAAACAAAATAAAATACCGGAATTTTGGATTCCCTCTTCTTAAAAAGGAGCTGCAGAGCTACAGTGTGCCTACATGATGCCAAGTAAAACGGCTCCATTCGCCTTTTATTTATATGTATAAAGCTTAACGTTTGGTTTTTATATTCTAATTTTGTTTTCATTGATTCCATGCACAGCCATGTGAAATCTTAGAAACTAAAATAAAAAATGCATCTATGTGTGAAATGGTGCAGTTTCGCCCTCCACAGCAGTCAGCAGGTCACATGACTGTCAGACCTGTCTTCACCGGGGCTAGCTGTTAGCTGTTAGCTTCTGCTGTCTGCTTGGCCGAGATGGTGAGTACAAACAACACGCCTCAAACCACACTAAACTACACTCGTATTTGCGCTTTGGATAAAGTATATTTCCCCGTTTTTTATTTCTTTACTGTTTATTCGATGTGACTTGAAAGGATCCATCAGAGTAAGCGCGTACATAGGAGGCCGTGTGTTCATGGATGTATTATAGGTGTGTTTGACATTTCGGCCAGCAACAGAGCCACTACAGTACTAGTTATATTACTATGCCACTTACAATGGACATCCAGCCTGTAAAGTTTTGGGGCTGTCAGCTGTCTGTGCCATGTATTTAATTGCATTGTCAACAAACAGCCTTTAAAGTAACACATACAATTATTACATTGAATTTGCTTGTACACTTATAATGGGTCACTGTTCTGTTTTTGTTCTTAAAAGTGCTGCAACTATTATTGCATGTAAATAAAATGTTAGGGTCTTAACGGTGTCAATGAAGCAACACTGCATTGTTGTCCGTTTAAATTCGATTTGTGGAGAAGAATGTTGGTATTTTTTACAAACATGCTGTGGTTACCTGTCTTAGGGTCAAGTAAATGTGTTGTGGAAACTTCATATGACTATTTTGTCTTATCATACCATGTGTTTCGAGTATAGGTAGACTGTTGTTGCAAATGTACTGCATCTATGCTTTCAGAGTTTCCTTGGGGGTTTGTTTGGGCCGGTTTGTGAAATTGATGTTCTCCTGAATGATGCCGAAAGCAGAAAGACAGCTGAAATAAAGACTGAAGATGGAAAAGTTGAGAAACATTACCTGTTCTATGATGGGGAGTCTGTGTCCGGCAAGGTAAACAAAACACAACATTTATATTGGTTAGCCCTAAGTCCATACAACAAATACAAATATATTTATTTGATTTCCAGGTGAACTTAAATGTAAAACAAGGAGGAAAACGCCTCGAGCACCAAGGCATTCGTATTGAGTTTGTTGGACAGATAGGTATGAACTTTTTAATTCAATGATTTTTTATCTTGATTTACATAGAGAGGATGCCCAAGACCGCGTTCAACCATAACATGATTGTTTGAAAAAACTGGTGATTTGACAATCAATTAGTTGTATAGATCACCAATAGGAATTATTGCCTGTTCTATGATGGAAGTTATTATATGCAACACTTTTTTTTATGGGTCATCTGGTAATTTGTCAATGGTACAAGGTACAGCAACAACACAAGTATTATTATTGTTATTAACAACAACAACACTAAAGGCTTGATACAAGCTTATTTGTGTGTAGTGCAGAGCTGTCAGCAGTGGTTGATAAGGTTTTTCTCAGACGGTTGAAAGGCTTAAGTCAGCATGTGTTAGTCATGTGAAACTATAGTGAATATGACTATTGTAAGTCTTTTTGGCCTAGAAAATAATGTCTATTGTTTTATGAATTTTCCTTCAACAAATTCTGAATTATGGCATGATAGTAACCTGCAACTCCGTTTTTCAGAGCTGTTCTCTGATAAAAGCAACACACATGAGTTTGTGGATCTGGTGAAGGAGTTGGCCCTCCCTGGAGAACTCGCCCAGAATCGAAGTTATGACTTTGAGTTTATGCAGGTCGAGAAGCCTTACGAGACCTATACAGGAGCTAATGTCAGACTGAGGTACAGTTTATACATTTGTTCATAATAAGCTAAAACCTCAAAGCTTGCTAAATGAATGCCCTTTTTTTGTTCTAGGTATTTTCTCAGGGTGACGATAGTTCGCCGCCTTTCCGACCTCGTTAAAGAGTATGAGCTTATTGTCCACCAGTTAGCCACATACCCAGATGTCAACAACTCTATTAAAATGGAGGTTGGCATTGAGGACTGTCTGCACATTGAGTTTGAATACAATAAGTCCAAGTAGGTTTTTTTTCTGCTCATTCAAAGCAGCAAAGCAAAGTGTTTCATCAGTTTCATCAATGGATTTGTGTTTTGTGTGCATGTATGCAATTGATATTTTTCCTATTGTTTGTGGTTCAGATATCACTTAAAGGATGTGATTGTGGGGAAGATCTACTTTCTGCTGGTCAGGATTAAGATCCAACACATGGAACTTCAGCTCATTAAGAAAGAAATAACTGGCATAGGTATTAGTTTATCTGTATTATGACTGACTGCACATACATTTCATTTGTCTAAATGCTATATATAAATATTATTAATATTTATTATGTTAATTAATATAATATTTTTGTTTTTACAGGGCCTAGTACTACTACTGAGACAGAAACTGTAGCTAAATATGAGATTATGGATGGTGCACCAGTCAAAGGAGAGTCAATCCCCATCCGATTGTTTCTTGCAGGTACAGTGAACCTGTCTTCTCTATATTATTTTTTTTTTTTTTTTTTTACAGAATCTCAACATTATTTTTCTTACAGGATATGACCTTACGGCCACCATGAGGGACGTGAACAAGAAGTTTTCTGTACGATACTTTCTTAATCTCGTCCTAGTGGATGAAGAAGATAGAAGATATTTCAAACAACAGGTTTTTTTTTTTTTATATTATTGATTGATTAAAAGGTCTATGGAAAAAAAAATATATATATATCTAATCTATGTTTTTTTAGGAAATTGTTTTGTGGAGGAAAGCTCCAGAGAAATTGAGAAAGAGAAACTTCCATCAGCGTTTTGAGTCCCCTGAGCCCAGGACCCAACCAGTCACTGCAGAGCAGCCAGAGATGTGAGGTTAAAGACTATACACAAAGACTTCCAGGTCACGCTGTAAGAGCTGCTGGTCTCTGGAGTATGATGATGGCTGCATTCATGATGGTGAACCCAGAGACGCAAGGCCCATCCTCTCACAGCTGCTCTGGTTCATCCTACACCTCTATTTTGCTTTCCCTAGTGACTGAATGACTTTGCTAATTGCAAAATTACAAACTATAAATTATTGACTTAGACCACGACAGAGCACCATCGGTTATGGTACAGCAAAAGGTTGAAGAGAAAACAGTTCTAATTGGTTTTATACTTCGGAGTTTGTTTCTATCGCCTCTGGATCTTTGTGTTTTACTTCAAGTGTTTCTGGCATCCCTCCTCCCAATAATACGTCTTTTTGGTGCATTGAATGAAGACCAGATCAAGTTTCAAGTCCAAGTTAAGTGTTATTTTAAATTCAATAAATAGTACAACCATTTCACTTAAATGCAGGGTTGAGCTGGATCACACTTACTTCTGAATGGCACAATTTACCGCTGAACAACACTCACTGAAAAAGTAAATGACAGCTTAGGGCAAAATGGCACGTGACCAAAATATTTATAAAGGATACAATCAAAATGTAAACCTAGTGTAAAAAAAAAAAGTTGATTCATCCTATCTATGTGTAACAATATTCAGTGAGAAACAACAAACTTCACTTGGCATCTCTACTCATCCAAGCCAAGTATTTTCCTTGGCTTCCTCTTTTGAATTGTATTGGGTGAAGTGCCAAGAGAACTGTTACACCAATTAACACTTTCCCTGCGTTTGAACGCTAATGTTACGAGCAGGTGGAAGTAGTAATTCAAGAAATTTGATTTCCCCATTTCCATGAACGAGAGGTCTGTCTGAAAAGGTAATGCTGGAAGTAACATTGAAATATATTTTTAGTAGTGTCCTATTTATTCAATCAGGAGGGATTTTTTTTTTTTTTTTTCAAATTATGTCAAAAATGGTCTTACATCATGGTTGAAATATCTATTCACAATAGATCTATAAACCATACTTTTGTTCAAACTCTATAGATATTTGTATTTGCGGTTGTTTGTTTGGAGAATTTGATTTATTTATGTTGTATACAATTGCAGTCTTCCACCATCAAAATAAAATATATTTCCTCTCTAGAACATCACTTTCAATACACATCCTGTCTTATTGGATTTACATGTATGTCATTATGTGTAACTTCAGTCCTAATAAGGTGCCACTGTGAACACTATTCCCCAGTCCTCAGTCTCCTTTGTAAAGTCTGAGCTACTTATTTTGCACTTTCCTACTGATATTAAAATATGTTACAGGAGAGTCATTAAAAAGTACCTCCTTCTCACATTTGTATTCATTCTGTTGTTACATAATAGTTCCATAATTAGTGCTTATTTCTTATTTATTACTATTTGCTTAAGCAATGAAATGTGTCTGTAACTATACATTTTATTTTTCTCATCACAATATTCTTTCCCCCCCTTCCATATTGTAAAGGTTAAATGCCAAAACTCTGTTCCATTTATTGCATGTAAACCAATAATGGCAAATCAAACTTTGAGTGTGCATTTGTGTATAATAATGTATATAAATAAGACCCAAACAATGCACAGTATAGATGAATGAAATCACAAATAAATGCATTTATACTAAGTGTTTCTCATGATGTATTAACTCAATTACCAAAAGGAATGTTTTTTTTTCTTATCAGAAAACCCTTGGAACTTTGAAATGTCAAAAAGTTTCCTTATTTATTTCCAGATCTAACATTCTAGAATAATTTGGGACCAGTTGAAAGACAACTCACAAATACAAACATTACAAAGATGTTATAGGAATGTATTCTGCCTTGACTGTTCTTTTCCATAAATCCATCAAGGTCCATAAATCTAATTTATAATAAGTTTCACAGTCTATTGAACCCTATTCCAAGCTGTCGATAGTCGGACCTTCCTGTATATTTGCCAAGAAAATGTTTGCCAAATGTAACCAGATGGTTAATTTACCAGATTAATCAAAGGACATAACTACAGAACCTCAATCACAAAGGCTCCAACCATTCGAATTCAATAACGTTTTGGAGATAATGTTAGGATTCTAAACATGTTTTAACACTACTGGAGTATGTTATGGGACAGGGCCTGTTTTAACCTCGACGTATTCACAAATTACATTATCAATTGTTTATTACTATTTTCATAGAAGTTGAATAACGTTGTGAAAGGTGTCCAAATGAGTGCCGTTTCATTAAACAAGGTCATCTTTAATCAGCTATTAACTGGCAATATGCGTCATATCTGTGACTTAATATTGAATCGATTGTTTCTTTAAAGCTACACTAAAAACTGGAAGAGGAGAAGGTTTTTTAAAAACAGTGTGCTAGTTTTGTGTGCAGGCGCTTTTGAGACAACTAAACAGTTGGGGGTCCTTCTACACGTTGCAGCAGCCGGAAGTGAATGCACGACCTCTATGATGCTTCGGGTCCGAGCAGTTTCTCGCGGTTCACAGTGAAATAACGGTTATAACACACTCCGGCGGAGAGCGGACCTCGTTCAGCCACGGCCCCCGGGGAAGCGTCCCTCATGGCGGCCTCTGTAAAGCGCTGCGCCTGCGTCTTTTCACGGCTCCAGCGCCACTTGAGCTCCCGGGCGGTGCGTACATCAGGCTGTGCGGTCTTGTCAGTACCACGTCCATGGGCTGAAGTTGGGACATCCATCAGAGCCCGGTCAACTGTCGCGAAACCCCCGGACACATCTCTCTTCGTCCCGGTGTCACTAAAGACTGACGACTCCGCGGACGTGGGCGTGGGGGTGGAACTTACACAGCCTTTGGATAAAAGTGAGGAATAAGTTTGTCATGAATAGATGCTGCGTTCTTGTTATTAAACTTCAGCCCACTTTCTCTACGATTCTTTTCGACGTCTCTTTTCTTTGCAATTGTGTAACATTGCCTCTCGTTAACAGTAACCTTACTATTCTATCTGCTCAGGTGAGCTTTTGAAAGTACTGAATCGTTTTTATAGAAGAAAAGAAATGCAAAAGCTGGCAGCAGATAACGGCCTCGATGGTGAGTGTGTTGTGGCTTATCGATGGCCAGACATGATGTATTCAGTATTTGAGTTGCCTTGTTTTTGAATTGTGCTATAAATATTAACTTGCCTTGCCTTCATTAAAATTATGTCCTAATTGGTATTTTTCTTCAGCGAGACTCTTCCATCAAGCCTTCATCAGCTTTAGAAAGTTTGTCTTGGAGATGTCTTCACTCCCTGCTGACCTGCACATCATTCTTAGTGACGTTTGCTGTGGAGCAGGTTGGTTTGGGTCAATTCAAATGTGTTGACGTTTTTGGTAACATGTTTTCTGTGTTACTTAAAGGCCACATAGATGATGTCTTTCCGTATTTCATGCGTCATGCAAAGCAAATTTTTCCTATGTTGGACTGCATGGATGACTTGAGAAAGATCTCAGACCTCAGAGTTCCAGCCAACTGGTAAGTTTAGCATTGTCTGTTGAAGAGTTTTTTTGCTAAAACCGATAACAGATCAAGATCAATCTTCTCTTCGATCTGGCACTAAAATATATTTGACTTGGTAAAGTGCAAATTTATCTGTTTTTGGAAATAAACTCACTTGTAACTCCCATGTCAAACTGACTGATCACAGGAAATATATTTTTAAGGTACCCAGAGGCTCGTGCGATCCAGAGAAAAGTAATTTTTCATGCTGGTCCCACAAACAGCGGAAAAACATACCATGCGATTCAGCGTTATCTTGCAGCCAAGTCTGGAGTCTACTGTGGTCCTTTGAAACTTCTGGCTCACGAGATCTTTGAGAAAACTAATGACAGCGTGAGCACTAGTGTATCTTCACCCCTTAATACCTCTGAACTGGAGTTTATTTTGTTATCTTTTCTGTATACCCAGAAAGTAGCTTGTGACTTGGTCACAGGTGAAGAAAGGACATTTGTGGATCCAGAAGGACGCACATCTGGCCACGTTGCCTGCACCATAGAGATGTGCAGCGTCACCACACCTTGTATGCTTGTTTTATAGTTTCCCAAATGCAAATATTATCTAGTTTGATATTTGAAAATTCCTTAACTGTTTTGTGTATGCATAGATGAGGTTGCTGTCATTGATGAGATACAAATGATTCGAGATCCATCCAGAGGCTGGGCCTGGACGAGAGCCCTGCTAGGTACATCAGTGTACTAGTGTTATTTAAAAATGCTTGTTTTTAAGCATCAACAATTAATTTTGATTAATATTTCAGGTCTTTGTGCTGAGGAAATTCATGTGTGTGGAGAATCTGCTGCAATAGATTTTGTAAGGGAACTTATGTATACCACCGGAGAAGAGGTTGAGGTAAGACTTTCAAAAAAATGTTGTGTTAAACTGTACATCTTATTTTATTTTGCTTTTCTCTTCAGGTTCATAATTACCAGCGTCTGACACCATTCTCTGTGTTGAATCAAGCTCTGGATTCATTGGATAATTTAAGACCAGGGGACTGTATTGTATGTTTTAGTAAAAATGATATCTACTCAATCAGTAGACAAATAGAGGCTCGAGGTCTTGAATGCGCTGTGATTTATGGGAGTCTTCCGCCAGGTGAATGCTTTGGCCTGTTGCCATAAAACTTTTATTGTAGTATTTATAATAATGTAGTTATTATTCTGTTTCAGGTACTAAATTATCCCAGGCCAAAAAATTCAATGATCCTGATGATCCCTGTAAGATATTGGTTGCCACAGATGCTATTGGCATGGGACTTAATTTGAGTATTAAGCGCATTATCTTCAATAGTCTGGTCAAGCCAAATGTGAACGAAAAGGGAGAAAAACACATGGAGACAATCAGCACGTCACAGGCCTTGCAGATCGCTGGTCGAGCTGGCAGGTGAGCTATGAATGTTGCTTATCAAATTAACCCAATATTTAAATGAACAGACAAATATGTTTCATGACCATGCAACACATTACATGTTCCCTTGTCATTAGATTCTCATCAAAGTTTAAAGAAGGATCAGTCACAACAATGCACAAAGATGATCTTCCCATCTTAAAAGAAATTCTCAGCCAGTTAGTGGATCCCATAGAGGTAACCTTATCTCATAGACCTTCATTGGCTTCCATTCGTACTACTTGAATCAGAAACATTACTTGTTTCAGACTGCAGGCCTTCATCCCACTGCTGAACAGATCGAGATGTTTGCATACCATCTGCCTGATGCTACACTGTCTAATCTCGTGGTGAGTAACTCTTCATAGCTAATTTGTTAAAATCCCAAAGAGCACAACTTTGAACTTAAAATCGATATCTTCAGGACATCTTTGTGAGCCTTTCTCAAGTGGACGGCATGTATTTTGTCTGCAACATTGACGACTTCAAGTTTTTGGCTGATATGATTCAGCATATCCCTTTAAATTTGAGGTCTCGCTATGTCTTCTGCACAGCTCCAATCAACAAAAAGCAGCCTTTTGTGTGCACATCGTTTCTGAAGGTGAAGTAATAGCTTTGGACTCATAAGTATTGTCAGATTCTTTCACAATTAAGTTGTGAAAAATTATCCATGTTTTGTTTTTTAGTTTGCTCGTCAGTTCAGTCGGGATGAGCCACTGACGTTTGACTGGGTGTCTCGCCATGTCAGCTGGCCTGCGCTTGCTCCAAAAAACATTAAGGATTTGGTGCATTTAGAAGCAGTTCATGATGTTCTGGACCTTTACCTCTGGTTAAGGTATTATTTTGTGATAACTCTTAGGTAGTAATTATTTTATGTGGCCAAATAATATATATAAAATAATATATATATTTATAGGATATACATATTCAGGTCACTGGGACCTGATTGGCTGAGTGAGAGCAGTTCTTTCTTTTTCACTTTTCTGTATGGAAAAAGCTGATCTAAAGTGACAAATGTATTCGAGGTGTATTCACATGCCAAATTGAAGGCATGTGAAAACCAGTGAAAGAACCAAACTGCCTTGAGTGTGGAACTTGTTAGATGGATTGTATTTAGGGCTGTCAAATTTAACATGTTTTACTTGATTAATCGCATAGTAATGTTGAGTCACGATTAATCGCATTTTTAACATTCTATTTCAAATCCACTCCAATTGAAGTTAAATGAGATTATCAAATGTAATGACACCTTGTCATTCATACCAAATGTACTTGAATCTGTTTGATTTGCTCACAACCTTTTACTTTTGGCCACAACCAACATGAGCTGTTAATGAAAGGGAAAATTTACGTACCCCAGCTTTAATTTAGCGACTTTAGTTGCGTTTCAGGAGGAGACACGGACACTTCCTGAGGCTCCATAGTTCAGTTTCAGCGGTGTATTTATTGTGTGCACAGGTTACTTACAGGTTACACAAAGACACGCACGCAACATGCAGAGAATAGTTCTGTGCATGTATGGTCTTTGATCACATTACGGCGGTGCCATTTGCGGGTTGTTGTTAGCGGCTCACAGCCGCTAGAGGTGGCAACCGCTGTCCAGAGCGGCCGCAGCTGCCCAGGGTCAAAACGCTGCGGCCACGGAGGAGGTGGACTTCTGTTCATACAGCAAACAACAGCAAGTGTCCCACGGTCACATGCGTATTCTTTTAAAACTTGAATTCCCAGAGACCTGCTCTGTCGCTATCTAACACACGCAGGTGTCTGCGGCATTCTGAGTGTTATTATGGGATACATGGGCCGGTCATTCGGACATGCGTTAATTGCGTTTTTTAACGCAATGAATGAAAAATGTAATTAACTTGAGTTAACGCGATAATTTTGACAGCCCTAATTGTATTACATTGTTGGGTGTTATTACTTTGACAAACTGGACTTGATTTGACTTTTCCCTTTCCTTCCTCCTATAGCTACCGATTTATGGACATGTTTCCAGACACTATGTTAATACGACAAATCCAACAAGACCTTGATCAAATAATCCAAGAGGGAGTGCGAAACATCACTCGACTCATCAGAGCGTCGGACAGCAGCATCACTGACCCCCTTCAAAACGGAAAGCCAGAACAAACCTCAGCTCAGAGTGTGACGCGGAGGACACCGGGAGGCAGTAGGGCTATAATGGACAGCTCTCTGACCAGCCGCCTTGTGAGAGATGGGCTCCTCACTCCTGACATGATTCGACAGCTGCAGAAAGAGTGGTCTAAAGAGTCGGACACTACAAAACAAAGTTCTCTTGATACAAACTACTTTAACAGTGACAAGGGAAAACGGAGAAAGAAGAAGAAATAAGGACACTTTGCCTCTGAGAGAATGAGTTGTTTGCTTCTGTTATCATGTTGACTGTTGAAAGGTCAAACTGTGCTAAGCTAATAAAATGGAAGAATTCTTTTTATAGTTAAAATGTAGCTGTTTTATCTTACTCAATATCTCTTCTTGGATAACAGTGTGTAAAAGGTTTTGTGCATTTCTCAACTGTCCAGGTGGTGACCCAATTTTTATGAAATGGTCCAATACCTGCTTCTTGTGCTATTGTTTTTTTACATTCCTTAATTATGGATGGTTTTAGTGCTTAGATAAGGTTTTTTGGTTTTACTTGAATGTCTCCTCTCCACAGATCAATCTTGTAAATAAGCAGATTGAAGTTGCATCCAATCTAAAAGGAAAGTGTAATTACAAATAGTATTATTAAACAGCCAAGACATTGAGATAAACCCAAGCAAAAAGCCAGCCGTCCACTAGGACACTTGAACAATGCACATTTATAAGTGTAAATTATAGTATATTCTTAATACAATGCACACAGCATACATGCTTAATGCAAACAGTTCTGTAATAGTTTGTTGTGTTTTTAAATGACACTGAGCGTGTATATTTATTAGCAGAATGTGGGAGAAAAGGGCATGGCTTGTGTTAATCATTGAGTCGGTTCAGAGATCGCCTCAGTGTACAGCTGTCTCGGGGGACTAAACAACCCAACATGCACGTACGAAGTCAACAATAGAAAAGACAACTGGATAACCTTTCTAAGCTTCTATTTCATGTACATTTTTTGTGTATGCATTATTGCACCATGTTGGCTGCACATTTCATTTCACTTTTCCTCTCCAAACCCCAAGAGGACCCCAAAAGTAGGGTAAGATATCTGATTTGTGCATGCTCTAAAGAAGTAAATATATGTTGTACTTATGGTAATAGATGAAGAAAACAACTGATTACAAGACTAGACCTGTGAGCATGTTTTCTGTTTTTGCTACCTCGGAAAGATAATGGAGGTTTAGTGGCTGCAGTGAGCTCATGTTGATTTAGAATTAATCAAATGGAGCTGAAAGTACAAAATGTTTGTTTTTAGGTGGATGCATTTCTTCGCACCATGTGTCTGCAAGATGACCAATTAAAAGACGTCTCAGCCCTTTTTCAGGCTGAAATGAGCAAAGGTCTTTCATCAAAGAGCAAAGCTGTAGCTGCAGTGAAGATGCTCCCAACACATGTGTCCCTCAAACCCAACTGCTCAGGTCTCTACTGCCATGCCATTCACATTCATTGCATTTTTATTATATGATAGTGACCAAGTTACAAATCATGCACTCTTAGTTACAGAAAGTGGTCAGTTTTTGGCCTTGGATTTTGGTGAATCCAGTTTTAAAGTCCAACGAATTAGACTTGAAGAAGGAGAAGACCGTAAACACAAAGAGGTGAAAATACAGGAGAAAATATTTCCAGTACCAAATATGCTTCTAAATGGCAGAACAGAAGAGGTGAGAGAAGCAGCATTACTCAGTAGATAGCAAAATAATTAAGCTGCAATTTCTTTTCTATAGTTATTTAATATGGTTTCAAGATCTTTAAAGCAATTTATGCTTGAAAAAAATATGAGTTTTGTGAGGAAACAGCCTCTGGCCATGACCTTCTCTTTTCCTTGTGAACAACCTGCTTTAAACCAGGTAAATGTCCTGTATGATCCAACACCATGTGTTTCACAATAATAAACCCATACGTCCTGTTCTCATTGTGACCAGGGACTCTTGTTAAACTGGACTAAGAATGTCAGGACTCCAGGCCTGAGGGGAAAAGATGTTGCTCAAGAGCTGAAATCTGCAATAGAACGAACTGGTGTAAGTGGCCAAAACATCTTGTAGTTTTTTGTTAAAACACTTTTGAGTATAATGTGTGTTGTATCAATAACACATCAGAATACCTTCACTTTGCTCTGCCACAACACATGACATACATTAGTCATTATTACTTAATTCTGACATTCTTCTGATTATTTGTATTGACTACCCAAAATCACATGTGTCAAACGCAATGTCTGGGACTAGTTTCAGTGACCCCTGAAATGATTTCCAATGATCATGATTAACATTCAGCCTTTATGGTAAGAGGTTAGTACAAGTTACTATGGTATAAATACTGGTTCATTTTAAATCAAATTTTCCATCCATCCATTTTCTAACGCTCCATCTGTTGCCGGGTCAACAGCAGTCCAAGCAGAGACGGCCAGACTTTCCTGCTCACACATACTTCCCAGGCCAGCTGAGAGGCCTTCTCCCGGAACACCTTCACAGGGGGCATCCAAAACAGATTCTAATTTTTTAACCCAAGTCGCAATTAGAAATAATTGAATAAGTATTTACTAATTGTGTTCATTTTTGGTTCAATCCAAACATAAATTAATTCATATTGTTGAAACATCTACCAGAAAAGTACATCCAAAGTCACGAACATAAATTAATTATTTTGTCAAAATACCGTCTAAATATAATAATATATACATGGATATACAATATAATAAATATATATATACATGAATATATAATATAATAAAATTATATACAATCTTTTTCTACAAAGAAAACCACTATTATGTTTGTGTTAGACACGCCCTAATTTTTTCCAAAGTTCATGAGCACTCAATCTTCGGTGGCAATTTTATCTTATCTGTCGCTACATTAAAGTAGATCTGCCGGCCTCACACCGACACACACTAAAGATATGTTGCTTAGGTAAAGAATAAGTAGGTTCATTGTTAAAACTGCTTTGTCAAATAGGCCAGTAACAAATTGTTTTATATATTGTAACCTACATGTATCACTTCTTATTGCATAATCATTCTTATTTAATAACTTTAACTGATTCTTTCAGGGGATGGATATAGACATTGTGGCACTTGTGAATGATTCTGTTGCTACTATGATGACATGTAGATTTTATAATCCGGACTGTGAGATTGGACTCATAATTGGTTTGTATTTTCCGTTCACTTGTGTAATATAATTGGGTTGTTATTATTAGTTTATTAAACCCTTTTGTTATAGGCACAGGCACCAATGCTTGCTACATAGAGCAGCTGCGTCACATAGACTCGGTAGATGGAGATGAGGGTAGCATGTGCATTAACAGTGAGTGGGGGGCTTTTGGAGAGGATGGAGCTTTGGACGACGTCATTACAGAATATGACAGAGAGATAGATGCAGCATCCTCCAATCCTGGAAAACAAAGGTTAAAAAACAAAAACAACAAATCTCCTCCAACCCCCCTGATGCTCCCCTTGGCCAAAACCTCCTTCATCTTGTGCTACATAGCTTTGAGAAGATGGTTAGCAGCTTGTACCTGGGGGAACTCGTGAGATTGGTGATTTTGAAGATGGCCAAACAGGGTCTTCTTTTTAAAGGCTCCGTCTCAAATGTTTTGAAAACAAAAGGAACTATCACCATGACACATGTTGCTGCCATAGAAGAGTAAGTTTTGTTTTGGTTGATTTGATTTTCACATTTATCAACCCCCACTTATTTACCCCACTTTACATTTACTGGCATGTATTTTATTTCTCAGTTGTCAAAGAGGCCTGCAAAACACCAATGACATCCTATTGGCACTGGACTTGACCCCTTCTGTGAATGACTGCGTGGCTGTCCAGCGTGTGGCCACTATAGTTACGAGCAGGTCGTGCAATCTGGTTGCTGCATGTCTGACAGCTATCTTGGCTCGGATCAAACAAAACAGCAGATCAACATGTATTACCATTGGTGTGGATGGGGAACTATTCAAACGGCACCCACAGTAAGTGTTAAGTAAATCATAAATGTGAAGAAAGAAAAGTATTGTTGTGAAGTGGGTGGAGCTTCCTTTCTCCAAGGTAAAATTCTCCAATAAATCGCCATAGGAATTAAAAAAAAAGAATTATCTTAAAAGATGGGGAAAAAAATCAGAGGTAATCAGCTATCAGATGAGTAAAGACCACAAGATCTACATTCATATACCTGCTAGCAATATGGAACATTTTAGGTTTAAATTGTTTTACTGAAACTAAAACCTATGGTTAGTAGATGCCAGATAGTTAGTTGGTCCCCTTCCTGATATTTGGATTTTTTGAAACTCCTGTGGGGATTTTGAATCCCCATCTCAGCTCCATTGAACCACAGTGATTTGTATGTAAATTTGTACTCAACAGTTTGTTTCTCTCAAATTAGTTTGGTTCTATCACTTGTTTTCACATGCATGTACTGTTTGGCCTCTTCCAAATTTAATACAGCTTTTTCAGAAAGAGTGGTGAAAAATATGGTCCCCCTTCACTCAGCCAATGAGTGACACTCAGGGCTCGTATAAAAACTCTTTTCTTATAAGATAAAAACAGTGTGTGATGGTCTGATTTGTTTACAACATTTTACTTTCACCAGACTTTCTATTGGCACACACAGAATGTATTATTTATGAGGACAAAAGTTTCCTGAAATGTGTAATGTTCAGGTATCCTCAGCGCCTGCAGGGGGCAGTGCGGAGTTTGTTTCCTGAGAGCTGTGTGAGGTTTGTCTCTTCTCCCTGTGGCACTGGGACAGGAGCTGCTTTGATCACACTGGGGGCAACACAAGAGGCATGGAAAAGGCGCCAGGTTAGTTAGTGCCATTTAGTCCTACATTGGTGTGACCAATAACAGTTTTACACTTTGATTCTGTGGAAAGGTGGAAGAAACGGCTAATATGTTTAAACTGAACCAGGAGCAGCTCATGTTAGTAAAGTCCAGAATGAGGGTGAAGTCTGAGTCTGCCATTAAGACGGTACCCTCGTTTGTTTACCATTTACCAGATGGAGCAGGTAAGATTGCCACAAATCAACATGGTTAGGTTATTTATCACAAGTTTAACATTTTTTTCAGAGTCAGGTCAGTACCTTGGTTTGGAGCTGGAGGAAAATCGTCTCAGGGCTGTGCTGGGGAACATCACCGATGGTCGTCTCCACCACACAAACCTTGACCACAAGATTTATGAACTCCCACTGGAGCTCCGCACAAGTGGAGAGGAGGTGCATACTGATCAGATGCACAGAGATCTCATTCATATCACTTATACAATATTTGTTTTTGTCCGTGCAGTTTTTTAACCATGTAGCACAGTGTATATCTGACTTTCTGGATTTTGTGGGCTTGAAAAACACGTGTCTCCCAGCAGCCATTGTGGTCGCATTCCCCTGTAGACAAACTGCAATCAAAAAGGTGTCGACTAACGTTGAGAAAGAATTAAACAAGAATATGTATTTTGTAATAAGTATTTGTATGCAGCCCGCCGTGAACTGGACCAAGTGCGTGGAGATCAGAGACTGTGAGGGGCCAGACGTCCTCACCATGTTGAGAGAGGCCATAGACCGACACGCTGTGAGTCACACATCAGTGTTTAGTCAAAGATATTTACAATAAGACTGTTACAATGTTTATTTATAATGATCTAAATTGGGTCTTCATTTTCATAGACTTTTAATTTGGACATAGTTGCAGTTGTGAATGATACTGTGGGGACCATGATAGCTGCTGCTTATGACCATCCTCAGTGTGAAGTTGGACTGATTGTTGGTATAAGACTCGAACTATGTTCAGTTTTATTGGCTTGATAAATTAATTTATCATGTGTTTTAAAGGAACTGGAGTCAATATTTGTTACATGGAAGAGATCAAAAACACTGATTATGAAGTTAGAATGGAAGACTTCCCGGATGATAAAAAGGTAATGATAGATACGTATTAATATAATGTATTTTAAAACATCTTAAAGTGATCTGTTACAGCAGGAAATCTCGTGGGCAGACAATTCAAAAGACACCAGTGAACAGAAGATATGTATAAACACAGAGTGTGGACGTATTGGGGATGATGGCTCCTTGGATGATATTCTAACTCCTTATGACATTCAAGTAGATTTAAACTCTCTGCATCCAGGAAAAAAGAAGTACAAAGCATCAGAAAACCACAATTCAGTTAAAGTATCTATTTTATTTCCAATTGCTCTCATTTTTGTTTCAGGTTTGAGAAGTTGACTAGTGGGTTGTACATGGGAGAGGTAATTCGTGAGGTTCTTCTAGATTTAACCAGGAACGGTCTGTTGTTCAAAGGTCATGATCACACGTCTTTGCAAACGCCAGGATTATTTCACATTAACTGTTTGTCGCAATTAGAGAGGTAAGGCCTAGAAAAGTTGATGTCACTGAAGGCAGGACTGAAGTTGTCACTAAATAGTCTTTCGTGATTCTCCTAGTGGCCATGTAGGAGTACTACAACTCAGGTCTATTCTTCAACATTTGGGAGTCGGGAGCAGCTGTGACGACTGTGTTTTTGTAAAAGAGGTAAATCACTGTGTGTGAAAAGAAGAATATCCATTTTCCCCTCAATATTGTGTTATTATATTTTTCATTAGAATAGAAACAGATTTTTTTTTGTTATTGTATTTGAATTTAGGACAGCACATATTAATCAATGTGTCTGCAAACAGCGTCAACATAAATATGCTGGAAATAGCACAATAGCTAAATTGCATCCATTGTCCTAAGGCAGGTAGAAACACACAAACCCACAGTTAGGTACAAAAAGTTGACAAGCAAGAAATAAGGACTTTAAAAGAGGAGAGAAAGAGAAAGTCCAAGGAAGAGCAGATTATCTATGGGAGCATGACTAATTTTGTTGAATTCAAATCATGAAGGAATCATTAACAAAAGTTATATTATTGACCTTTGTCATTATAAAACCATGCTGACCATCAAACTCATTCTAAAAGTGAATCCTTACGATATTGACACAGTAAAAGTCGTAACTGGGAATTGGACAAAGACATGTTAATGATTATATCTCATTGGCAAACTATGGCTGCAACAGTTTCCCACATTCATGATAGTGGCTTTCTTCATGAGCAGGTGTGTTGTGCCGTGTCACGTCGTGCGGCACAGCTCTGTGGAGCGGCAGTCGCTGCTGTGATCGATAAGATGAGAGAGAGTCGAGGAGAGGACTCTCTCTGCATCACTGTGGCTGCGAGCGGAGCACTTTACAAAACACACCCACAGTGAGTTTGTGTGGAAGAAACATTTTTTAAAACTATTTCACAGGGTTAGTAATAAATTTGTTTTTGATAGTTTTTCTACAATCCTGAAAGAGACGGCAAAAAGCCTGGCTACACAGTGCACCATGACATTTGTGACCTCTGATGAAGGCAGCGGGAAAGGAGCTGTTCTCATCGCAGCGACAGACAGACTGAAGCACCAAATGTAAAACTCACTAGTACTGGATATCAACATAACATCGCTTTTAGCAAAAATCACAAAACCAGCAAACAAAAGAGAGCTTTTAAACGTTTCTGTGTTGCATAAAGTATGAATTGGCCTTTAGAGAATGAGTGGTATTAATAAAAAAGGTGGTGTAGTAGAAAACTAAAATGAGAAATATTTATTGGTTAATTTTTCTTAGCGATTTAAGTAGTCAACTTACAATCTTAAACTTACTTATTATTTGTATTTTTTTGCACTTTGTATCTGAGCCAACGTGGAAATAAAGGTCTGAGATAATATCGTAATTCTACATCAAAATAAAACCAGAGCACAAACTTGTAAACTCTTCAAAAGACTTTCTAATAAATTATAATTGATAAAGATACATGGCATGCGTGCTTAATCGGTCCGGGATTAGAATGTGATTGAGCAACAATCCCAAACCACTGGCCATAATCCCACACTGTCCTGTTTAGTGCCTGACATCGGCCGCCTGTCACTGGATCTGCAAAGTTAATGATATACGCCATCCAAACCATAAATCCTATAAAGAAATGGTAAAATCCTGTGATCTGAAGTATTTTGTGCAGTGGGAGACTGAGTGGGATTAGTCTTTGTCTTCCTGCATCAATAAGCGCTTTGATAAAAGTGCTCAGTCATTGGACTCTGTAACCAACAACATTTTTGGAAAATATCTACATTAACGGTTCATTTTTTAGATTTAAAATTAAATCTTCAAGTCATTGCTGGTGGATTCAGAGGAGGTCATGGATATCTTCTCAGAAAAGGTAATATTATGTTAAGGATATCATCAAATGACAACGGCAGATTTATATTGTGGATGTTATTTAGACAGAAGGCATCAGCTAAAGTGAAGAAACATGTAGTCAGTTTATACTGTAGATGGTTTTTATTTGTTTTGTCATGTTATTAAGTCCACAGATTTTTCTTTTTACATTAATGTAACATTTAAACACAGAAGTATTATTTGTTCATGTTGATATAAAAAAAAAAATGCTGATTTTATTGATATGGTCAATAATTGTCTAGATGCTTTGTAAATAGGAACATTGTTTTGCTCAATTGCTCATGAGGCAAGACCGTGTAAAGAAACATATGACACACAAATCCCTAAGTACTTTTTCTACAGATGGATCTTTCTCTCTCACAGCCCGACCCCCGGGACAGCTGCTGTTTGAGTATTTGCTCAGCTGCTGACACTATTGAGGATCCTAGTGTGGCATCATAATGCTTATGTCCTACTTGGATATCTCAAATACTTCACCTACATTCTCTTTTTGTTTGCCCCATACTGATATGGCGTGTATTCATAATTTAATAATTTTTTGTTAAAATATGTGCCTGATAATAATTTACTGTAAAGGTTTGGCTACTTTAAACTCAGAGAGTCTTTCTCCTTTTTCTGCCTACAGAATATTATTATCTTAGACTGGCACACTTTATTACAGTGTTAGGTGTATGTAAGAATAAGAATAAGTAAGAACAAGTCATCTTGCACTTTCTTTTTTCACATTGCTATCGGTCCTTGGCCCCCAGTTTGAGAACCGGAGATTTATATGGTATTTAAAATAATTTAAAACTAATGCGCAAGCCACGAAGCTGTTTTAATTTAACTAAAAGACAACACCTAATTTGTCATCGTCTTTATTGAATCCTCATCATCAGTGAGTAAAGGGAGTTTCTCGGAAACCATAAGGAAGAAGATTGTATTATGAAGTGATTATCGTGAGTTTGCGCTACGTGTCCAGAGTGACTGTATAATGATCAGACTGTAAACCCTTGGCTGTCCTCCTGGTGTCCTGCTGCCTCATGGCCCATGTGCTCCACTTCTCCTCTCTTCCCCATGTTCTCACCCCTCTCACCCCTCTTGTTCTACGCTCGTGCTTCTTTTGACGCAGCCAATCCGGAAGCGGCGCTCGTGCTCTGTGTCCAATGAGCGTGAAGATCGTAGACAGGACTCTGCTTGTGCCTCTACCGCCTCTCTGTGCCAAACTTTCCCCTTACCGTCACTTGTGCTTCCTGGCTCCCACAAGAAAGAAGAATCGAAGTCAAACAAGACTATTTGGAGTATTTATATTTCTCTGGCGGTGATAGTTTCAGTGTTTTTTATGTTCAAATAAGTCGAGACGGGAGAGTTCGCGTGCGTCTGTCTATGAAGAGCGAGCAGGATGATTGCAGCCCAGCTATTAGCATATTTCTTTACTGAACTCAAAGATGACGAGATCAAAAAGGTAAAGTTATGTTTTTCCAATTCATATGCATTTGTTGGCTGGAAATGCCTTTGTCAAGAGAAAGATGACTTTGAAGTGAGTGATACCAAATGTAGAGGTCAGCCTGCTTCTCCCAACATGAATGGGCTGCCACTATCCATTTCCTTATTGCGTTTTATGTTTATTTTGGAGTACTTGGTCATGAAACAGTGCATAGACAGTGCCTTACCTCACCAGGATTTCAGGATTTAAATAAACTGGTCAGTAGGACGTGACTCTGCACAGCGTAGCAGATGATAAGTCCATGATGTAACCACACGCAAAAAGCCATTAGTGAGAAGTCAGAAAGCAAGTGATGGATGGGTTATATATTGGTTGTGTCTCTTTATCTTGTTTGTTTCCTTTGTGGGCTGAGTTAAAGTTAATAGACTACACATTGGTTGTTCCCTTTTCGTTTGTGTGGATGAAACTTGAGAATTTCCAATGGCCTATTTCCAAGTCTGAATGTCACATCAGGTGATGTTGCCAGCAGCTCTCCGCTATTGTGCAAACTGTCACTACTACATTTTAATAACGTAATATCAATTGTCTGAAAATGACTGAATTAAAATCAGTAGGAATAATAAAACATTGAATTATAGTAATTTAAATTATTGATGAAAAAACTCATATAAGATTGGCACCAAGACCAAGCACTAGTTACTTTTTTAAATTCTGTTTCTGTTTTTTATTTCTGTTGACTAATGTAGCCACAGCTGCCCTGGGTAAAATGGACAGAAGAGGGCCTGTCAATCTGAGCTCTTGTCTTCACTGACCACAACCAATCATTCCCACAGATACGTAGCCTACTGTCATCATCTTATATCCTCTTTTATCTGACCAGCTTCCTCAAGACAAACTCAATCATATTGTAAAAGGCATTTGATGATTACAAATGAAATGGTTGATAGATAGCAAGTCTCTGTTTGATAGTATGACCTTGATAATGATAATCTCTATTTTGAAGTAAGTCGTGTTTTTGAAGCAGGGTCCCATTTCTTCTTTCTGATGTGGTCACACACACATGGAATTGAAGCATCACATTTTCTCTGTAATTTTGTTGAGTAATTGTCTTCCTGTTGCGTGTTCTTCCTTCATTCTACACCTCTCTTTATTCACTTGTGTCATTCGTGTTGACGTTTTGGCTTTTCACACGTCTCGCATGATGTTTGGTCCTGTTGTGGTCTTGTCCAGGTCTTAATCCAGGTTTAGCCTGAGTTTGTTTTTAATTGGTATATTTTCAACTTGCATTACTTTCTTATTTTATTGGGTGATTAATTTCAGCCTAATCTAATTCTTAGATCCATAGCATTATAAGAACACATTTTGATGGACAATATCACTTTGTTATATTGTGATAAGCAATCATATTTACTTTGGGACTTAATGTCATTGAGACAATAATAAGAGAATCAAAATGACTTTATAAAACCTCTACAGCAATCTTCCTGTTATTGTAAAGGCAATAAATGTCGCTGTCATATATTGTCATTTCCAACTGTCATTATTTGAACAATAAATCGGTATATGATTACCCGGACATGCCTAATTACAAGGGAGAGGGAGAGGCAGCTCCTCTGCTGCCTCTCCCTCTCCTCTCTGAAATAGGACGGCTTAGGCCATGTGACCAGAGGTGAGCAGAGCTTACAAAGGCTGAACTCGTGTGTGTCATGAAGGAGCTGCTTGTAGTGGTAGTAGTTGTAGTAGTAGTTATTTATTTTTTCTATAAAAAGGATACAAAAATATGAACTGCAATTCACAGAGAATAGAGCGTTGTAGAGTGTAGAGTTTTCCGTAGCAGATAAACTGGGGCCAGTTTAGACATGTCTTACACTGTATTATAGTTGACGCAGTGTCCTTGAAAGTGCCTCTGCATGCCTGTCTTTTTTAGCACTCGTATGAGGTGAAATGCAGGAAGTGTAAATTTGAGAGTGGAGGACAGTATTTTTCCACATGGCATTGTGGTGTATGCGCACACACAAGGGTCAGGTTTCAGAGCGTCCCCTGAAAGCGTCACACATTGACCAGAACAGAGCATTGTCACTGGAGGAATGCAAACAGAGCAACAGAGGAGGAGGAGCTGAAGGAGGCGCTGCCCACAGGAGAAAGTGGAGGTGATGTACTCGTAATACAGGGTCACGTCGGACAGAACCACTGCACCAAAAGGGAGATGACTTTAATCTGACAGTATTTTCCAAACAACATAGACCAAATGCAACTACCATCATGCATCAGTGGTGTCATGATTCTCCATTTCAACTCAAGATTCTAGAAAGATTCCCAAGTTTGATACCATGGAAATATAAATTATCTTTTTTTTACGCAAAATAAAACTCTTTTTATCAGTTCCTCTGATATAGTATTTTTTAAAATACTCAAGGAATGTCAATGTTGGTGTTGTTTAGTATTGATACTTGGTCAAATTAGTGTCTATTTTCAATACTAGCTTTACTACCTGAGTCACAATGAAAGCTTTTTACCAAAAATACCCCTTTGTAATGATGGCAGAATTCAGACAGATTTCAAAATTATTCTAAAATGAATCACAAAATGTCTAGTTTTGTCCTGTTTGTAATTTTTTCAAATCATTTTTCTTTGACAATCTTACCAAGCATTTGAATACATTAATATTTTTAAACCCGAGTTGTTGTTCATAAGTGGTAAGTGCAGTAACCGTAATGTTCTCCGTTTCATCATGTGACAGGTTGCACACGAGCCAAGGTAAAAATAACTAACTCATGTTGGTGTGACCACTGCCCTGTTATTTAGTTTTGTTTAACACACATTTAATAGTTACATTTATAGACTACTTCATTTTGAGGGCATTTTTATTGGATACTTTTTCTTAAAGGAACTCTACAATCTGATACTCTACTCTGATAACATATGACCCCCATGGCTAAAATATGCAATGTGTCTTTTATTTTTTGCCCAAAAAAGAAAGTAACACCTGGGGGAGCGGGGAGGTGTCGCAAATTTATTTCTTACCTAAAAGTTTCCCCAATTTGTATTCTGCAGCGGCTCTATTGTTGTGTCCTCTGGCAAGACGCTTCTGTCCTATGTCTGTCTGTCTCAGGGCAGCTGTGGCTTGAAGGCTCCAGTTCGCAGTGAACATATGATTACCTGTGAAGTGTCTTTTGGAGACGCTGCATAAACTCATGACATGTCAAATCTAGAACGACGTTGTGCTTTCTACATTTAGACTGAAGTCAACAAAGGACATTGGAGGTGTTCTCCAATGATTACAGCTGTGGTAACATTCAGCTCGTCGTTATGGCCTTACGCAAGACACTTGCCCAAGTACACAACGGGAGCTTCAGGCGAACCCCACTTTGCCTGAAGCTCCCACTGAAAGATCTCAGCTCTTGTGGATCCTCCTGCAGGAGGATCAGTGAAGGGCTGGTGCTCTGTGTATTGGGTGCATCTCAGACTGCAGAAGAAGATGGATGGATGGATGGATGTTTAATGATAATAACAGCCCCTGTATTCTGAAATATAGCACATTGTTATTATAACATGGTCATTAAATGTACATTATTGTGTTGCCACAGATCGACAAGTACCTGTACTCCATGCGTTTCTCTGATGAGACGCTGTTGGACATCACACAAAGGTTTCGCAGGGAGCTGGTGAAAGGACTGGGCCGAGACACAAACCCCACAGCTGCACTGAAGATGCTACCAACGTTTGTGCGCTCCATTCCTGATGGGTCAGGTTAGTACTAGTGAAGGACCAGGCACTAGTGAACCATGTAACAACCAAACATTTGAATGATTCAAATACTTTCAGTCCACTGCGTCCTCTCCACACTGACATCTTGTGGTAACTTTGAACTCATTTACATTTCAGTGTATTAGTTTCCAGAATATCACAAGTAATAATATTATTGTTATTATTGTTGTTGTTATTATTATTTTTGTTATTAATTGTAAATATGTTTTTATTGTTTTTATTTCTATTTATATATTTGTGTGTTTTATGTAAACATCTACAATAGTACAATAGTTACTTAAAGCTGCACTAACTGACTTTGGGATTTTGAAGCCGCGGACTCGCTGGCCTCTCTCTTTCTGCTCCCCTCCCCGCACCCACGAAGCTATCGCCCCCCACACACACCCACTGTTGGGACGGAGCTAGTGTCTCTCAATATGGATTGATTCTATCTTTTCAACACGTAAGCGCGGGTCTGGAGAGCCCGTGTGCCCGGACGGGACTTCACCAGCGGGTTATACGCTTGACAGCTGGAACAAGTGGCAGCCCCTCTGTCTGTCGACCCTGTCCATTGAAGATTCGGAAGACGTATATATCTTTGGCTTTTTGGTGGTGGGGATCCTCCTGTTTGGGTTTGGAGCGGTTCTCTTCTACCACAAATTCGGAGGCATGGCAGTTCGCAAGATTCACGACCTGCTGGCCGACAAAATTGATGGGATGTACAAGGAGCTTAACCGAGTCGTGGTTGAGAGCGCTGTGGCTGGACAACGAAGAGTGGTGTTAGTGGAACAGTTGATCAAAGATCTCGCAGCTCGTTCACTTGATGGGCATAAAACTCTGGAATTGAGATTGAATGACATTGTGTGTCACGCTTGAACTCTCTGACCCGGCTTGGATTTGCCCCTGTGTACGGGGTCTGAGGGCGCCGTAATTCGGTTTAATTGGATTTAATAGAATATCTGCCTGTTTTTGACTGCTAAAATGCATACTATATTGTCCCTCGTTACAGGAAGATGTGTTTTCTCCTTGCTGTGTCTTCTCCCCACTCTTATCTCACATTCCTCGGGCCAAGGCCATAATAATAAATCTGGTCTCTACAACAATTCACACTCTTTCAGTCAGTTCCAGCTTGGATCCCGCTCCCCCCGCCTCCCTCTGATCTCTCCCTCCCCTCCACTCCTCAATGTGTTTCCTACTCACCCCCTCCCTGATCCCGCCCCCCTCTGACAGCTACATTGGGCCGGCCGTCAGAGGTGCTCATCCCGAGAAAAAAATCCGTGGTTTATAAAAAGCACAATGTGTCTATCCAATTGTCTGTGAACTGTATGTTATTGCTCTCTGCTGTTTCTTGCTGCACACAGCGCCGCAAATGGCGAAGTGGCACGCTCTCTGCCAAGACAATTTCCAAGTGATAATTTTGTTACTCACGTGGCAATAAAAATGATTCTGATTCTGATTCTGATTCTGATTCTGATAATACATGGATATGGATTTGCACGTGGATGGCGTGACCATAGAACGATAGAACCGGGAAGCGCGGAGGAACGAGACTTTCTTTTGGAAGGCTGTCTCGCTGTGTAAGCAGTAACCGGTGACGAAGACGAGGAAGCTTCAGGTTAGCTCCTCGGCTTGTTGTGCTAACTCAGCCGTCTATGCTAACGGACCTGTAGATTTCTCACGAAAGTGGGGGCTAGTGGTTCGCTGTGATTGGTCACAATCTGAGACCCGAAACACATTCTCTTCCTTGTTTCATCAAAACTCGATCTAAAATATAATGTCACGCCAGCACAAATCTGCACTACTTTTTCTTCAAAAGGACGTATATCCCAATGCCCTACACGGACATGGATAGCATTTTAGTAATTAATACAAAAATAAAGTCAGTTAGTGCAGCTTTAATAATAACAGCAACTAACCCTTTTTTGTGTTTGTTCAATCAGAAAAGGGAGACTTTATTGCGTTGGATTTGGGTGGCAGTAACTTCAGGATCCTTCGTGTGAAAGTGAGCCACGAGAAGAAGCAGACTGTGCAAATGGAGAGCGAAGTCTACGACACTCCTGAAGACATCATTCACGGGACGGGTACCAGGGTAGGTGCAGTAAACATATGAACGTGTGGTTTCTATGCGAGGAGAAAGAACCGGATAACTCGTCCAATTCAAATCAAAATCGCAAGACTCCTGTAAACTCGGGCATTGGCTAATATGGCGCAGAAAATCTGTCGACCCCAACATTTTTTTTTTTTTATTTTTTTTTATTTTTTTATAATATGCACCTAGTTAAAAAATCTCCTTTCATTTAAACATGTGTGTGATGATATTTTTTGTTTGTGAATTTTATTAATATATAAAGATGGAGCCAAGGCCAGATAAAGCGATATATGGATATGTAGATACTTTATTGTTCCCCATAGGAGAAATTCAGGAACCCAACCTGATTGGAGAATCTGCATGAAAATATGAAACCCGTAAACATGCATATTATGAACGTCATCTGTACATTTTATGTTTTAAATTAAGAATAACTTAAGTTTAAACTTTTGTTCAGAAAAGGTCAAATAGTAAATGTACATGTGACTTGCTGTTTGGGGACACGTATAAAAAAGATGTAGATGTCATCTAACATAAAAATGTGACATACTGTGTTTTTTAACTATAACAATTAAAACTGAGCAGTGTTCCTCATAAACTACTGAATTTCAATTTAAAACATGAAATACTTCATTTAAGGGTCTTCAAGTTTAAATTTTGCATCAATAATAATAGAAAAAATCATATTCTTTCTTTAAGCTCTTTGACCACGTGGCAGAGTGTCTGGGTGACTTCATGGAGAAACACAACATTAAGGACAAAAAGCTTCCAGTTGGATTCACATTTTCATTCCCATGTCTGCAGAGCAAACTAAATGAGGTAATGGTACACACTTCTTTTATTTAAATATTTAGAAATTAAAACATCTGGTGTTTCCATTTCCAGGGAAACCTTATAACTTGGACAAAGCGTTTCAAAGCCAGTGGTGTCGAGGGAATGGATGTTGTTCAGTTGCTCAACAAAGCTATTAAAAAACGTGGGGTATGTATTTTTTTTCTTAAAACGTTAAAAAGTTATTTTCTTTATTGCTTTATTGGAACCTGTTAGTGAATGTTGTTTATTTCCAGGACTACGACGCAGACATCATGGCGGTGGTTAACGATACTGTAGGAACAATGATGACCTGTGGGTTTGACGACCAGCGCTGTGAAGTCGGCATTATTGTTGGTAAAATAAACCATTTAACATTCAGGATCCTACATCTACACAAAATATACACACATATCTATAAGAGAAAGCACTGGTATATGGCCCATCACTGAGTAGATCCTCTTTTGTGTAAAAAGGCCACACAATGTGTCAATAAACCATCGGAGCCAGCTGTAGTTTTTTTGTAGCTTTTATGTATTTATTTAACCTTTTATTAAACCAGAAAAATCCCATTGAGATTAAAAATGTCTTTTTCACGAGAGTCCTGGAAAGCTTTCAAGCATTCATGGTAAGCTTTAAATGACACTTAACATATATTGGTAGCCATTTAAATTTTTTGAAGAGAACAACCACATTACTTACTTTTAAACCAAAACATGTGTACTTTTTTACTTCTTACATTGAGATAAATCGTAGTTAGATAGAAATGTGTCATAAAAAAATGGGTTGGAAATGGTTAGCTTTGTATCTTATTCATCAGGTTAATGCTTTGACTTGAACATTTTCCCACCTCTTTACAGATGAATAAAAAGTTAAATAATAGGCTTGGATCAGGCTCAGATTTTTGTTGTATTGTGGCGCTCGTGTGCAGGCACAGGCACGAACGCGTGTTACATGGAGGAGCTGCGGCACCTCGACCTGGTGGAGGGGGACGAGGGCCGGATGTGCGTGAACACAGAGTGGGGAGCGTTTGGAGACGATGGGCGCCTGGAGGACATCAGGACGGAGTTTGACAGAGAAATAGACAGAGGATCGCTGAACCCCGGAAAACAGCTGTAAGTTTAGTTCTCTGTGAGCGGCCTCCATCAGGTGGTCTTCAGTAATCCTGATTTTGGCTCAAAACACTACTTTAGATTCTCATACAGACTTATAACCCATCTGAGACTGTTTCTCAGAATATACAAGCACTTAGATGAAAAAAAATACTCAAAAGTCTTAATTTATCTCAGAGTTGAGTATTAAGTAAAAGATGATGCAATATTGACATGTTTGGTAATGTTTCATAGCTTTGAGAAGATGGTCAGTGGCATGTACATGGGAGAGTTGGTTCGTCTTATTCTGGTGAAAATGGCTCGAGAGGGTTTGCTGTTTGAAGGCAGAATCACGCCAGAGCTGCTCACCAGAGGCACAATTGAGACCAAGCATATATCCGCAATGGAAAAGTAAGTTGGTACCTGATAAATGTGGCTACGTCCTATTTTCCCTACTGTCATTTTTATTTTCTACTTAGGAACAAGGAGGGATTGTGTCGGACCAAAGAAATTCTAGCCAAACTTGGCGTGGAACCTTCAGTAGATGACTGCGTAGCTGTGCAGCATGTGCGTAATCAAAAATGCTAAAATCAACTTCTATAATGAATGAATTAATATTTTTATTTAAGTGTCATTTGTGCTCAATTTCTACATCTTTCATTTTTAGGTTTGTGCCATAGTCTCTTTCCGCTCGGCCAGTTTGATTGCAGCTACTTTGGCAGGAATCTTATTGAGGCTAAAGGAGAACAAAAGTGTTGCTCGTCTCCGAACCACTGTGGGAATAGATGGGTCTCTGTACAAGATGCACCCTCAGTGAGTGAAAGATCTACTTTTATTGTATAGTTTCCTAATTCAGTTTTAATTTAATTAACTCAAACAGTTTGGATTGTGCGTGTCTTTTTTCTATGTATTTATTATTTCTAAGTTGTCTAGTCAAGTTGTTCTCAAGGATGGATATTGATAGAATAGGTGTATTTGTTTATAGCTTTGAGTCTTGTACTTTTTATGTAAAGACGGTATCTTGAATATCGATTCTGAACAAATTGACAACAGTTATACTTAAATTGAAACACAAATGGACCAAAGGTAAAGTATAATGCCATATTGGGTTCATTTTTTTACCGTGACATAAATTATGTTGTTTTCCTGAAAAATGTGCTATGAAATAAGGTATAACATGCCTTAGCAGCATTTAAACCGGAATTAGAATATCGGCCCTCTAGTGGCAACCCCCTGAATTGAGGACACTGGTATAACTTATTTTGTTTTTAGGTATGCTCGCCGCCTTCACAAAACTGTCCGCCGGTTGGTCCCAGACTCGGACGTGCGTTTCCTTCTGTCGGAGAGCGGGAGTGGAAAAGGTGCTGCCATGGTGACCGCTGTGGCCTATCGACTTGCTGAACAGTCACGCCAAATTGCTCAAACGTTAGCAGAGTTTCAGCTGAGCTCGGAGCAGTTATTAGAGGTTACTTACTCTTATTTGAGACACGTTGAATTCCACAATGAGACTCACTGATGTTTATTTTTTTTATTTTTAGATAAAGAAGCGCATGAGGGTGGAGATTCAAAACGGCTTGTCCAAAAGCACTCAGGACGTTGCCACTGTTAAAATGTTGCCTACGTTTGTTCGAAGCACTCCTGATGGCACAGGTCAACACGTGACCAATTGGGATTACGCTTGATATTATTGACTCTGCAATTAACAGGTTTCTCTTTACATTGTGCAGAGCATGGAGATTTTCTGGCTTTAGATTTAGGTGGTACCAATTTCAGAGTTTTGCTGGTCAAGATTCGCTCTGGGAAAAGGCGTTCAGTAGAAATGCACAATAAGATCTACGCAATTCCCCTCGAAGTTATGCAGGGAACAGGAGAAGAGGTTGGAATGAGAAAGGAATAATAATCATTTATACCGGTGATCACAAAATGAAATTACAACAACCCATATATTGTATTTCCACAGCTGTTTGATCACATTGTGCATTGTATCAGTGACTTTCTGGACTACATGGGCATGAAAAGTGCTCGTCTTCCTCTTGGTTTCACATTTTCCTTCCCATGCCAACAGACCAGCCTGGATGCTGTGAGTTCAACACTGATGCAGTATTTGCACATAGCCTAAAAAGAACCAAATATGTGAAAAATACATTCTGTATGACCTTTGTGTGATATTATCTCTTTTATAGGGAATACTAGTAACATGGACCAAAGGGTTCAAAGCAACAGATTGTGAAGGAGAAGATGTTGTTGGATTGTTGAGGGACGCAATAAAGAGGAGAGAGGTCGGTGACATTCCCCTAATGAGGAACAATAACTGTAGAAACAAAACCACAGACAAATGAACGACATGTCTTCTTTACAGGAGTTTGATCTGGATGTTGTGGCTATAGTCAACGATACTGTGGGAACCATGATGACCTGTGCCTATGAAGAGCCGTCCTGTGTAATAGGCCTCATTGCTGGTTAGATGATAAATTACATGTATTATTATCAGAAATGTTCTCCTATATTAAAAAATGCATTGTTTATATTGTGATAGGCACAGGAAGTAATGCGTGCTACATGGAGGAAATGAGAAACATCGAAATGGTGGAGGGAGATGAGGGTCAGATGTGTGTTAACATGGAGTGGGGGGCATTTGGTGACAATGGTTGCCTGGACGACTTCAGGACCGAATATGATCGTGCTGTCGATGACTTGTCTCTCAATCCTGGCAAACAAAGGTGTGTTTTTCCTCTCAAAACACAATGCTGCATCATGTCAGAAACACCGGTTCAATGTTAACCCTTTGTTATCTCAATCACAGAAGGGCTGTCTTTTAAAATGTCTTGTATTTTAGATATGAAAAGATGTGCAGTGGGATGTATCTCGGTGAAATTGTCAGGAACATCCTAATTGACTTGACAAAAAAGGGCTTCCTGTTTCGAGGTCAAATCTCTGAGACTCTAAAGACCAGAGGCATTTTTGAGACGAAGTTCTTATCTCAAATAGAAAGGTAAGAAAAACAGCCTTTTCATTCCAAATAACATTTGCATTGTAAAGAAAATTCTATATGTCTTGTCTCCAGTGACCGTCTGGCATTGTTGCAAGTCAGATCTATTCTCCAACATCTAGGTCTGGACAGCACATGTGATGACAGTATCATAGTCAAAGAGGTACTGCTTTCAACACATTTCTATTGCCTACCTTTATTTGACCTAACTTCTGAGAAAAGTGCTAAGTGCAGATTTTGAGAAAGACACACAAGAAACCAGTGTGTGTCTTTTCACTTGGAGACATGATGCAAGTGAGATAAACTGTGTGAACTCTTTTGTTGCAGGTCTGTGGAGCCGTGTCGCACCGTGCAGCTCAGCTGTGTGGCGCAGGGATGGCAGCTGTGGTCGATAAAATCAGAGAAAACCGTGGAAAGGATTCGCTGAGCGTCACAGTAGGAGTGGACGGCACGCTCTACAAACTGCACCCACAGTGAGTTACATGCACAGATGAGCCCATACAAACACGTACAAACACAAATCATATCATGTTTATTTATTTTGTGTCCAGCTTTTCCCAAATCATGCACCAAACAGTGAAGGAGCTGGCGCCTCAATGTGATGTCACCTTTCTGCTCTCAGAGGACGGCAGTGGGAAAGGAGCCGCGCTCATCACTGCTGTGGGATGCAGGATGAGGAGCGAAATCAACGGAAAATAATTATTTAACAAATACACTGCAACTTTTTCTATAATGGTAGGCTCTTTTGGAGTTTCTCTATGCTCTAAAACTAGTAAAACCTCCACAGCTGCTGTGTGACAGACAGCGGTATCTCTCCAAAGGTGTAAGGGCAGAATGTGAGACCAAAGTTATATTGGGGTTACAGTTTGTCCCAAAGATGATTTGAAGTTGGATTTTTATTCCTTCTATTTATCTACACAAAAATACAAGTTAACCCGAGTTTGTGCCTGTATCATGCGCACAAGCATTCACCGTTGAGCTTACTACAAAAGGACAAGAGCAATGAGGACAGCAAAATGATGTGTGATGTAGAAATGCACTATGAGATTAAAGGGAATATTTGTCTATTGATATATTTACACAGTGATGCTATTTATTTTATTTTTATATTTGTAAAATGAATCTGTGTTACTGCTGCGTAAGAAAAACTGGTTAATACTGTAAACCACATTTGGTCTAAGAGGGACATGATGCTTTTAGTTACTATACGTACTGTACAACATCAGATTTGTGTTCATTACCCCATGTTATAACGTGATACACCATCAAAGGGAAGTACAAATTAATGAATTATTCACTAATTCAATTAAAGTGAAATTATATGTGCTAAGGACTACATGCAGAGTGATACACGTACAAAAAATGTAATAATTGAACTAACCCTTATAAAAGTGCCATTATTGAGCAGAAATGCAGTTTTTAATCCTGGCCCCATTTCTGCAAAAATATCTGTTTTGTCTCAAACATTCAATGCACTGCTATTTAACACAGACGGTCTCGTACTGGGGCTTTAATAAACCATTATTTTGAAATTCCATTCACTTGTTAAAGCCCTATTTTGTACGATTGCTATTATAAAGACTACTATCAGAGTGCTGTATTTATAAATGACAAAGAACTGAACTTCACACGCACCTTATTCTCGCTGCTTCTGTTTTCTCAGCATGGTCTCTCTCAAATAAAATAAACTTTTGACTTCATATTGACTTTATTGAGTAAGTTGTTTTATTTTTTTCCACAAAGTACAACTTATTTTAATAATGTAATATATACACACTCCCTTTCACATTTAAGGACATTAAACACAATGTGTATGTTTATCTTGTCTTTGTTACACAAGTTGAGCAAACACAATATTCCAATTCACCTGAAGCCATTTAAACAAGTTCACGTTTCCACATCACAACCTGAATATCACGTAAACAAAATCTGATTCTTATCAATGTAGCAGTGATTCTATAGAAACAAAGTCAAAACATAGCCCTCCAGAAAAAGCATGAGTGAAGATCTACTGTTCTATACTCTCGCTTTCATGCAGTAAGTATCACAAGTTATTTATACAATGTCAAACATTTCACAAACATTTTTTTTCTAGTCCCTTATACACCTGTAATATTCACTAAAGCATAACTTAATCTGGAGGTAAACACTATCCACAGGCTAGCTGACGACATCGGCACACATGACAACGGTGGTCCAAGCTGCTGACCCATGGTTATGGTGGAACTTTGACCCAAGGATCATTATTTCATATGAGTGGGATGGATCTTCATTTCTGGTAGATGTGAACCAAAGGAATTGTGACTGGATTGAAGAGTGAAGATCTTATTTCCCCACCTTAGGACAATTGAAGTAACCAAAGACCATTGACCTGTTATTTTCAAGTCCTTAGGCAAGACACTTAACCCCCCCCCCCCCCCCCCCCCAAACCCAGATATTGATTAATGGGAAAAAGATGGATGAAGGGTTAATACCTTTATAATATGCAATAATATCCCATAACCTCTTACCACCAATGCTATGATTTAATAGTAATCAATCTAGGACTATGAAAATGGTCTTGTGGGCCACATGTGACACACAGGCCACATGTTGAACACCCCTGCGGGACATCTTGGTCAGTTTATCTGTTGCATCAGCTTGTTTTTTCCCATCATGGTTTGTTTTGTTTGATGTTTAGTTAAGAATGAAGATCTTTTCCTTTGTGGATCACTGTCTCTAATCGGCAGTATCTCTGTTGATAGTGATGGTATTGTTGGTTTTGATGGACACCTCCTTGCGGTGGCTCTGTGTCATTGTTGCTCTGAAGGTGTGCGTGTGCTGAAGCTCCATCTTATCTTCTTCAGACACTTTGACAAAAGGACACCAAGCAAATGCGTGACGAAAACCAGCACGAAATCTGAGAGAGCACATTTAGGGAATAAAAAGATAAGACTGACTTGATATTATTATTCTATTGATGTGACAGTGTTTGAGTGTTACCTCTGGTTCAGACAACAGTAGATGATAGGATTGTACATGGTTGAACTCATGGCCAGCCAGAATATGGCCAGATACACCTGTAGACAAGCAGTTATAATAGTAATGACAAATGCTTCTCTCATTGGTTATAGAGGTGAGAAAAACACCTTTTCTTGTTATTTTACATTAACAAACTCATTGAGAACACACCTGTTGAATGTACCACTTCTTGTAAATTTCTGCATTGAATGTCCCAAGTATGAAATAAATGTGATAAGGCAACCAACACAAAGCAAAGGTCGTCACCACAACAATCATCATCTTCACAACCTGAGAAAATTATACAAAACGTTTATCAGCATTAGATTTTTTTTAAATTGCATAATTATTATCATTATTAAAGGATAATATAGACTTTATTGATCTCACGCTGGAGAATTTTACATGCCACATTTGGCAGATTGTGCAAAAGACAGAAGTGTGCAGTATGTTAAAGGTTAAAAATATAGTCTGTGCAGGATATAATTATGTACAATAAAAAAATGCTTATGATTCTTGGGTTTCAGTTTAATAAACAGTGTGTAAAATCCGTATCACCTTTCGCTTGGCAGTAATCTGATTGTGATAATGGTCCGTGGCTTCTCCAGGGATGTGCGCCCCCCACAGCGAGCGACCCACCATGCTGTAGGTCACCAGCATCACCAGCAGAGGGAGTAAATAGATCAGCCCTATGACTGTGTACTGGTAACTGAAAATGGAAATGTCCCTTTATTTTCATTGAACCACATTAGCTCTGTAATGTCATCATTTCATAGAGCTTATTGCAATTTGTCACTTGCAGCCTGGAGCTGACACCATTACGAGATGGGTAACTGTGATTTTCTCTTATTCAATTTGCACATTTTATTGTTATATGTTTGGGTGGTGCTCAAATAGCTGCAATAAAAAGACACCATTACGGATATCACTTTTTGTGAAATCAGATCATGTAAACAGCCTGTAACAGCCACAACGCTGAACTTAAAATATGTGTATTTTGCATATTTTATTGGTATCTACCTCAATTGGTGCTTTCCCCCATAATCATCAGGCCAGTCCACCATACACACTGTACGCGGGTAATACAACTGGGTCACACTGTAGTAGCACTGAGGGAATGCCAGCAGTACTGCAATGGTCCAGATCAGACCAATCACGCCTTTGGTGGAGGTGGAGGAGAGGCGGGGCTTTAGTGGGTGGATAATGGCCATGTACCTGAAAAGAGATGTCCCAATCAATCTCACCAAAGATCCAACAATAACAAGCTTCCAGAACAAATGGCTTCTGGTGTAGTCTACTGTCTGATGATTAAGATAAATACATTTCTATAACAAGCTTGTTTTATTTACCAATTTAACAAGTCAAATTATGAAATAATCTAGAAGATTGGTGCTAACATTCTGCACACAAATCAGTTCTCATTGTCCTTCAAAAAAGGTTTTCAAGTGTCACTGTATGTTATGAGGATTATGATGTGATGTGTATTTACTTTAAAACTTCTAAAATTAAAGGTATAATCTGTTTTACTTTTGCCATGTTTGCATCAGTTTAAAAATCAAGGGATCAAAATAGAAATAGTTGAAATTGGCACATAATGAAAAACTGGGAGACGTAAGCAAATTTAGTATTCTCTGAGGCAAGGATCATCTATCACTATGTCCCAAGCCACCAGACCGATATATGGATGTCCATATTACTCAATAATGAAACACTGCATTGCAGTGCACCAAACCCATACATGCAGATTACTATCTATATGTTTTTGTTTAATATCAAAACTAATTTAGATGATTTTCTCTTTGATGCCTTTACCAGTGCAAGTCATATGTTTAACCCATTGCACCATAGCATTGCGTGGTCATGGACTTTATAATTAATACAGTATTTCAAACAAGAATAAAATAAATCTCACCTGTCCACTGAAATGGCAGCCATGGAGTAAATGGATGAAAACATGGCAGTAATTGGAAAGAAGTTTTGAAACCTGCAGTAGCCCAGGCCAAAATACCAGTCATTGTGGAGAGCATAAACAAAGTTAAAAAGGGTGTTGAAGGTGGCCATAGAAACGTCAGAGAAGGCCAAGTTCACAATGAAGTAGTTGGTCACTGTCCTCATGCGTCTGTGGGCTAAAATGATCCAGATGACAGTGACATTCCCAGTGACTGACACCACAATGATGAGGGAATAGGCAATGGCCCAGAGAACCACCTACAGACAAATTAAAGTTACTCAACTTAAGGACAAGTGGAGTTATTCACATTTGTAGTAAAATGGGCAAAAAGTCAATGTTGAAAATGTTCAAATAAAACTGTGTGCAGTATTTTGTGGTTAAACCTCATTAGAATTTCCATAAATGTTAAACCATAACTCTTATTCAAACCAATGTTATTTCTATTAATGTTTTGATCCCAAGCTCTATATTACCTGCCAGCCGGGTTGGTGGAATTTATTTAGACTCGTATAATTCCCCTCATATAGCCAGTCCGCGGTCTCTGAGAGAGGGTCTGCTGTGACCTCCGTATCTCTTTGAACATGTTGAATAAGATTTTCAATATCCATTTTCTCACTTTCCTCACACATCCAATGCTTGAACCTATAATATGAAAAATAAACTTTATTAAAAGGGTTTGTGAAATGCGATCTCATATATAATTATTATGAGGGAATGCTTGTCAGGAATGTGCAGACAAACAAAACGATAAAAAAATCAATTAGGTGAGGACACAAAAGCTGAAATATAACTCTTACCTTGATTGAGGTTTCAGTTATGGAATTCATTCGAAATCCCAAAATATTCTTTTTAGCGTAAATTCCACAATTCACAAATGCATCCAGACAGCATATTTCCTCCTCAAGTGCCCTCGCTGATCCTGTCTTTGGTGCAGCTCCACGCGCTCACGCTGAAGTGTCGCGCGTGCGAGCGCGTGGAGCTGCCACGCTCTGTGAACGAGAACGCTTCAGTCTGATGACAGCTTCAGAGAGCCATCAAGGGCACAACTCAATCCCACGTGCGAGCTTTACTTTTGAGATAAGACCAAATATTCCAACAGCATGCTTGTGTCAACACATATTTGACCATTTTAACTTTTCATTATTCATATGTTTACACTTTTATTGTCAAGGCATACTTTCACTGTATGCCCTAATTAATGGACTGTATATTAGAATAGTTTTATGTTATATGGATATGTAGGCCTGCTACCCCTTTTACGGAAAGATGATCCCAAGCGTTCATCTCCACTGAGGTACAACGCTGGTCAAATGAGTGATGCTTGGAGTGGATTATAAACAGCTGCAAACACATCGTTACAGTGATGTTCTGTACATTACTAACGTTGCGCACTTGTCAAACCGTGTGATTCGACTGGTTTGAAGGGTTTTGGACAGTAAGCCCTGTCCTCCTGTGTATTCCACATAGTTAAAGAACATAAATAAATCAAAAAGAAACGAACTGTTGAAGCCACACGACCCGTGCACGAGGCGCTCATCCATCACAAACGCGCGCGCTCCAGGTGCGCCCTGACGTCAATGCGGAAGTGTGTGCAGTCAGTCCATGGAGAGGAAACCGCTGCAGACAGCAACATGTCCAACAATGGCGATATTCGCTACTGCCACAGATTCTCCTACGTGTTCCTCAAGTTCCTCTTGTGTTTCTACTCTATCATCTTCTGGGTAAGTCACTTCTCTGTCTCCACTTCTCCACTGAACGGGGTTTGAGAGACATCGAGGTTGAAGGCTGTTTGTTTTGTTTTGTTTTTTTGTTGATAAAAACTAAACCAAAGTAAATAAACTGTTTGATAATAGACATCCATATGCTTTGACTAATGTCCATCTGTCAAAGAATTATCTGATATCGATCTTGTTTTGGAAATTCTGGAGAATTGAAAGGCCACACCTTCCACTTTTGCCTTGTGCCTTTGGGCTATCCACTTGATTCATTAATGTCCCATAGTAAGGGAGCCACCTTGGCCCAATTCTAAACTGCTGTGTCTGCTTTTGTTTGGTTCTTTTGACCTCGTACTGACGAGTCACATGATTCTGTTTACAGTAAACATGAGCAAGCATAAAATCTACTTTCAGAAGGTCGTTATATAGTTTAATGTTTATTGAATGGTCGTATTGTCTCTAACAAAGCCTATTGAAGAATAGGTAATTATGGTTAATTGATACGGTTAATGAAAGTCGATGTTAATGCAATAATCTTTTCACTTATGGAATAAAAGTGGTCTTCCATGGTCCAGCTGCTCCCCACTCTGTGTCTGGACTAAGGATGATTGACGTATCACTTAACTGTTCAAAGGTTCACAGAAATATACTTTGCAACAAGAAGCATTTTATAGAATACCAGTATTAAAGAAAGCATGAAATAGTAAGTTGTCAGAAAGTATTGAAATATATAAAAAGTTAAAGCATAAATAATTAAAGTACTTACAGTTCAGAATAATTAATCTGAAAAGAAGACCAGATCAAATATTTCAGATGTATTTGCCTCTAAACACTAATGTTTCAATCCTAGATTTGAACATTGTTAGAATAGAAGCCTGTTTCACATTTTCAAGGAGACTGCTCCATTCAGAGTCCCAGCAGGAGGCCAGTCCCTGTGCTCCTCAGAGTCCCAGCAGGAGGCCAGTCCCTGTGCTCCTCAGAGTCCCAGCAGGAGGCCAGTCCTTGGCAGGGATTATGTGCTTGTTGATGATGTGCTGGATTTTCACCTGCATCTTGGTGATTTTTATGTGATACATTGGTGATGGCTGTTGACTTATCCTTTTGTTACAGATTAGCCTTCCTGCTTTGAGTTTGCACGTTCTCATTGTGTTGGTGTAAGATTCCTCCAGGTGCTTTGCTTTCACATACCACTAAAAACATGCACAGTGCATTGAGCTTATGCAGTGCATTTACAGCATAAAATTTACATCAGGGGTCCCCAAACTTTTTCCTGTGAGGGCTTCATAACTTTGCCATTCTTTGATGGGGGCCTGGTCAGTTTGTAATGGTAAAGGTGTGATGATTGCAGCGTTGAAATAGTTACTAACTAATAGTTAATAATGAAAAAAGTTCATAACTAAGTAACTTTTTATTTAAAAGTCCAACTTTATTATCAAGTACACATATGAGTGTGTTCACAGTAAAGTGTCAATTAAAGTATCTGGACTTTAAAAGGTTATAACTCTAAAACTAAAATTACTATCATAACTTAGAAAAAAGATTTCAAACGCAGACACATTGAAGAGATAGTGGGGATAAAATCAAAAGGAAAGATTGACAAATATATTTTTGGCGACATTTTTAAACGACAAAATCAGCCTCTGATTTGACCATTCTACTGTGACGCCGGTTACATAGAAAATAAAATGTCCTCAGTCTGAAAAAGCGGCAGATGAAATCCCACAAGATTTACATGGTTAACACAACATAAGTTAATCACTTGATTTAAGAAGCAATCGTTAAAAAAATAAAAGAAATAAATGACCCTTGAAAAAGGTCATGATGGTTTCTGTCCATTTTTTCTAACAATTAAACTTGAGGGAAAAAAATCTGGTCTGGTTTCACATTTAATTGGTTGACTATATGAAATTATCACTTTGTTTCTACTCTATGTAAAAAAAAAATAGAATCTCAATCAAATGTGGATCTAAAAATACGTAACAAACTTCCGCAAAGCTCATTCCGTCAAATCATCACGTCCGTTACATAAAATACACAAGGCCGCTATAGGAAACTTGTCTAAAGTATAAAATAATTATGTTCTAGCAACTTCTAAAGGACAGAGTTGTTTGGATACATGAAAAACATAAAATATCTTCTGATTATTGAAATCAAACTTTTGGCCTTTTGTCACACTTTTGTGCCCTTTAGTTTGAACAAGCCCAAATATGAAAATGTTCTCTGGTATTGTTCAGGGGGCCAGGTCCAGCCCGCAGGCCGTAGTTTGGGGACCATTACTGTACATGAATACTCCGTGCTCTATTCAAATATATAATTGCAAACGTACTTGAAATGGGTTTTGCTGTGATGGTTCTTAATGTTAATATGTGGACAGGATGTCGGTAAGCTGCTGATTTCAGAACGAGACGGACATGATCTATATCCTGTTTATACTGTAAGGATTGTTCAAATAACCTTGCTGAAGAATAAGAATAGCAATTTCAAGTAAATCCTAACTTTTAATTTGAGGAGTTTTTTTTTTACTGAAGAGATAAAAGCTGTGCAATGTAGGAATTAGTGCTGCTCGGCCTTCAAGCTAAATTGGCAAAGGCTGCCACGTTCACATCTTCTGTCGGGGCCATTTCAAACTTTTCCAGCAGTTTAAGCAGCAGTAGCACAGACCTGCCTTCACTTCACTTGTGCATCAATGTCTGCCTGTATCTGATCCCTAATTGGAGAACATGTGATAGAAGTGAAACTCTGAGAGTCTATACTGGGAATCTGCGAAATCAGTTATGGAGTCTCTCAAAGCCAATGCTTTTGTGACCTTATGATTCACACATTTTTAGTTTTAATGGAGCTTTAAGAGCAAATGCCAAAATGCTGCTTGTATTATCTGTTTGTATGCTCTGAGTGAGTGAGTAACTGGTTAAAAATGATTTAATACATCGGATGTCCACCCATATACCATTATTTTAGACATCAGTTACCAATCTAGTGAGAATTATGAAGCAAATCTCCACCTAGAATTGTTTGTAAACCATCCTAGTACTTTTTGCATGTTCTCATTGAACAGCCTCCCATTTTCTGTTTGGGAATCAGAATCCTCTACTATTCTCAAATCAGGATCTTTCTGTTTGACGTCCCTTATTGTCTAGTCATCCATTACGTTCACTTCCATTTAACCATCACAATGTTATGTCCAATCTTTGAGGCTTGAATAATTGGAAAGATAAAAATACCATCTAAATTATTTATCCAAGGAAATAATCAATAGAATACTCCTGAAATAATAGTTACTTATGAAAACTGTTGACTTGAGTACCTGTGATTACAGCATTGTCCCATAAAAAAGGAAAAAAAAAAACAATGAAAATAATGTGTAGCTTTAGTCCCCAATTTGCGCTATGAAAAAATAATGGGTCACATTAAATCACCCACAATATTTTTTGCATTGCATCAAGAAACAAGTTTCGAATTGAGGTTTGATGATGATTCAAATACATTTTGTTGACTCACTTCTTTATCTAAATGGGCTCTAATTTGGTCATAAATGTAGTAGCGGTCAGGGACATGTAGGGAAGCCCAGCATGGTGGCCTATAAAGAGCATTCACAAGTCCTGGTGACAACTTGCAGATAACTAATCAACTTCCACATGTTTAAATGTTGAGGTGACGCAGTTAAAAGCCCATTAAACACAGACATGTTTGTGTTACTGTCTTACCACCAAGTCCGCTGAGTGAAAACAGACTACATAAACGTGGAAAGATGAATCGGGCAATGCTGGCTACAAGATCATGTTGAAATTCTTGTTCTATAGACTGCGAGACAGGAAATCGTCTTGAAGTTGGACAATGGTTCAATGTAAAACTGAAATTTACCAGATATTTCTGCTTTTTTGCGCAATACATTAACCACAATTTGTATGCATGGTATAATATTTACATCCATATGGTGAGAATATAAAGACATTTCAGCCACTCCTAATGTAGCTCGTAGTAGATGAAAAGAGTTTTTTTTTCTTTTATGCCTTTACAATGTGGACAGTGGGAGTCCAGTTGTAATGAATTGATGACCTTGCAGGACATTCGGGTACATGTGGGTAGTCATGTCATTGTCATGTCATTTTCTTCACCTTTATTAATTCATTTTTGGGGTGGCAATCAGAGCTGCCACCCAAGTCTCATTGCACCAGTCCCACGCTGATCCTCCTGCAGCTGGTGGGTCCACGGGAATATGGCCTTGGTCTTTCAGCGGGGGCTTCAGGAAATGTGGGGTTAAGTGTCTTCAATCAATCAATCAATCAATCAATCAATCAATCAAATTTTATTTATAAAGCGCTTTGCATACAAAAAGTGTAACACAAAGTGCTTTACAGTTTAGTTAAAAACAATCCAACATGCCCAGCCCTAAACCCTCCTCCCCACAGACCCCCCAAAACCACATTTATAATTATATATACAACCACATGCGTATACACACACACACACAGACACACACATACAAGTATAAAGTCATATCAGGTAAAATAGGTAAAACAATAAAAAGAAATGGGGCTGGGAGCAGATGTAACCGGCTGAAGAAGCGCCATCCAAGGAGCCATCTGCACCAGGAGCAGAGAGCCGGCTGCAGCCACAGGGAACGACACAGGCCCCAGAGGAGAGAGGAGGCCCCAGACCCCCACCGGATCCAAGAGCCAGACCCCCGAAGCCACAGCAGACCCCAGCTCTCAGTGCAGAGGGCTCCTCCAGAGGAAACACTAGGGACACTAAAACAATACAATATTACAATAGAAAGTAGAACAATAAAATGTGACAATAAAAAGAAAAATGGCAGCTGCCTAATATTGATAATAACAATAGTAAATGGGTAGATACAATAAATAATTAAAAATAGTAAATAATAAAAAATAAATAAAAATAGAATGTGTCTAAAAACATAAATAGATGTACTAAAAAGCAATAATAAATAATAAATACTAATCAAAAGCTACTCTAAAAAGGTGTGTCTTGAGCCTGCTTTTAAAAATATGAACGTTCTCTGCGGCCCTGAGCTCCTCCGGCAGACTGTTCCAGAGACGGGGGCCGTAGTGCTGGAAAGATGCCTCGCCGTGAGTGTGTGTCCTGACTTTGGGGATGGTTAGGAGTCTGCTGCCGGAGGAGCGCAGGGGCCGGGAAGGTTCATAGGATAAAAGCAAATCTGAAAGATAAGAAGGCCCAAGACCATTAAGATATTTAAAAACCATTAAAAGAACCTTAAAATCGATCCTGAAACACACGGGGAGCCAATGCAGCGATTTTAAAACCGATGTAGTGTGGTCCCGCCCCCTGGTCCTAGTCAGGACACGTGCGGCCGAGTTTTGAAGTAATTGTAAACTTGAAATGTTCTTTTTGGGAAGACCAGAGAGCAGGGCATTACGGTAGTCAATGCGACTGGTGATAAAAGCATGCATCAGCGTCTCCGTGTTGCCCCGAGAGAGAATGGGGCGGACTCTGGCGATGTTCTTTAAATGATAAAAACCTATTTTTGTGATGTTCTTGATGTGAGGAATAAAAGTCAGCTCAGAGTCAAAGATTACGCCCAGGTTTCTCACTTGTGATGATGGATTAAAAGAGTGTGATTGGAGTTTCGGTAAAAGTTTCTCTCTCTGGGCCTCAGGACCGATGACTAAAACCTCAGTTTTGTCCTGGTTGAGCTAGAGAAAGTTTTCTGCCATCCAGGATTTCAGGTCTAAAATGCAGTTAAAAAGAGCATCCATTGGCCTGGTGTCGTCAGGAGACATGGAGATGTACAGCTGTGTATCATCTGCATAACTGTGGAAGTCAATTCCATGTCTCCTGATGACACCGCCAAGAGGGAGCATGTACAGGTTAAAAAGGACTGGACCTAAAATGGAACCCTGGGGCACACCACATGTGATTTTATGGACCTGAGAGGAGCAGGTATCCAAACTCGCCATGAAGGATCTGTCTGTTAAATAAGAAGTGAACCATTTGTGGACAGCACCAGAGAGGCCGAGGTGTTGTAGGCGTGATAAAAGAATGGTGTGGTCTACTGTGTCTTGCCCTGGGACACAACGACAGCAGACATCAGTGGGAGCAGGTGACGTGGTGGGCTCGAACCCATGACCATCAGGTCCAAAGACCAGTGCTCTGCCAATTGAGCTACTGTCGCCCCCCATGTGGGTAGTTTTACTGGGAAGAAATTATGCTGCATTCAAAAGCACACATTTATCTCAAAGCCTTTCGTATATTGTATTGATGATATTTGTTCTGTATATTACTGTCTAGATTGTTTTGTTTATGTATATATCTTACAATTTATGGTATATACATGTGTATATAATATTTTCTCATGCCTTGAAAATGTTTTGGGTTGGTGCCTATTTTGGTGGTCTTTCCCTGTAAGAGGGCCACCCATGGAGGCCAGCCACACCCTATTTATGTTTGTTTAATGTGTACATTTGTGTGTGTTTGATGTGTCTTTGCGCTTAGAAAAAATGTGTTGTATTCCCCTGTAGTTGATCGGAGGCTGTATCCTGGCCATAGGCATCTACGCAGAGGTGGAGCGGCAGCGCTACAAGACTCTGGAGGGACTGTTTTTGGCTCCAGCTATAATCCTGATTGTGCTGGGCATCGTCATGTTTGTTGTGTCATTTATTGGTGTTTTGGCTTCACTGAGGGACAATCTAACTCTGCTTAAAGGGGTAAGAGCAATGTGTGGTATGCCTCTTTTTAAAATTCATGCAATTATCCCTTTTATTTTAATATTTATATGTTGTAAATTTCAGTTTATGTATACACTGGCAGTTTGCCTGATCCTGGAGCTGCTGGGAGGGGTATTAGCTCTGGTCTTCCGCAACCAAGTGAGTTTTGTCAATCAGAATGTTCATGATTGTGCACACGTTACTTTAACTTAAGAAGACAGAAGAAGCTGGAGACAGTGATCGAGATCATTATTAATGAAAACGTATGAATGACCAGTAAGTCGCCGCTTCATTTCCGTTCTTATAAAGATTACTGCTGTAAGAATGGCTCCATGGGATGTCATTTTTATGAACAATTATTCTGAAACAATGCGATTAATCATTATTCTAGTCGATTGTCGCCTGTGTGGACTTTGTCAAAAGTATAAAAATCAGATAATAGTTGATACAAAAGACAATTGGGGGTCTGGTGCTTTGTGAATTTGGTGCAGTTCTGATACAGATACAAAACTAAAAACATAAGGTCAGAAACGGAACCAAATTGGACCTTATGCATAATCTTTAACTTCATCATAACTGGTGTAATGTGATAAGATTATAAAATGATGAGTGATTAATTATCATCAATCATGCTTATGATTATTATAATATATGATAGATTAATAATTAAGTAATTATTAATCTAGCATATATTATAATAATTATCATTCATCATTTTATAATCTTATCACAGTTTTATTTACAATGTGATTTTACACCAGTTATGATGAAGCTATGTAATTATTAATCTACTTTTCCAAATGGGAATGAGTTGTGAGAACGTGTGGATGAAAGTGAAAATCAACTTTTATTTGAAGTAATAGGCCAAGGCCGACTGGAATACTAAAAACATGTACAATAGGTCCGGCATGCGCCTCCTGTACTGACGACCCCGCTCCCATCTCTGTGTGGAGTGAGAGACAAATGCCCAAATAAAAAATAAATAAATAAAAAACAACAATTGTTAACCGCTTTGTGACTGTGGTCTGTGAAAGGCGGTATATAAATAAAGATAACTTACTTACTTACTTAATATTGCCATTTCACACTTCTCAGTCTGCCCGCCAAGGTCTATTCCAAGGAATTCCAAGCAATGGTCAAATCTCGGATTCAGGAGTAGTTTTTGTCCATGGCTGTGGAAATGTTCATTGGTTCTGTTCACTGTTTTATGGACAGAAACTCAGGGAGTCTGGTTTGGGAACCGCAGGGTTTCATCTCTACAGTTTGAGGGTAATACAGTCTTGTTGGCTTCAACATACACTTGGGTGGAGAAAAGAGGAAGTGCACCGGTGGTTTGCAGAGTGGCTGGGATGAAAATTGGACTCCAAGTCAAAACACAAAGCTCTCAATTCACTCGTCAGTCTATGTTCCCACCCTTGCCTATGGTCATGAGCTTTTTGGAAAGACCGAAAAGACAAGATCATGAGACCGGAGCAGCTTAGCGCTTTTAGAGGTGGAGGACCTCAGTCACATAAGAGCTCAGAGTAGAGTCACTGCTCCTCTATGTTGAGAGGAGTCAGTTAAGGTCGAGTGTGTGAAATAAAAAAAAATACAGATTTTTTAAAACCCTCCTGCATGCATCCTGAAGCAAAATCTGGAAAAATCTGCCATGATGTTGTGATCCTGCATCGTGGGCTTGCCTCTTCACACCCCAGTTCACCGTTTATGGACATGGAAAGTAGTGACCCATGAATGAGATTTACTTAAACATGAGTGATGCGCAGAATCAGTAAAACGTCATGAACGTACATGCCATTTGTGTATGTGCCTGTCTAAGAAAGAAAAGTAAACTCTCTTCCTTTATGCCCCCCCATCTCTCTTCATGTACTCTTGTAAATCTGCCCCACTCACACATAGAAACAAGGACACGAGAGAATAAGTAAATATCCAGGGAATGGCACAACTTACCTCGGTACAAAGAATCCAACCAAAACTCTGTATTAGTGAAGTCAACAATGCAGGATCCTTGTGGTCCAAGAGTGATTGGATCCATACATCTGCAAGCTACACTTTTCACTTTTAATAAGGGTTTGCAAAATAAAAAAGTCAGACTTGGAGTGTTTTATTTGTATAACAGTTATAGAATTGCTTATATTTACTCAAAGATGTTTGATCATTTGGGCTCATAAGGCAGGAGGGTCAGCAGTCTGAGAGCTTAGCTTGGAGAGAAATGCTGCTTTTATATTCACAAAATGAATGTGAATTTTCTTCTCTTCTTTTTATTCACAAAATGAATTCACAAAATGAATGTGAATTTTCTTTTTTCTAGCAGCAAAATTAACCAAAAGGGAAAATATGGTTTTGCAGCAGATTGTGACTGACAGCTGGAACATGTAAAAAAGTCTTTCACTTGAGTGGATCAGTCACCTTGACTGATTGGACGGTTTCTGGCCCACATTTTTCACAAAGAGAGCAACAGCTGTTTTTAATGCTTTAATGAAATTATGGCCACTTTACCTTCTGCATTAACATGCTAATTGTTTAATTTTCCTCATGCAGGCGGTGGATTTGGTCAATCGAAATATCAGAAGAGGCATAAAAAACTACTATGACGATTTGGACTTCAAGAACATTATGGATTTTGTTCAGAAAGAGGTATGACATATTAATCTGAACATATTTGCTTCAAGCACAAACAGCGAGAAGGTCCTGGGTTCAATTCCCTCTCCAGATGTGGCCTTTTTGTTTAGGTAATTGCTTGATTGCCTGTCTCTGCTCCGGTTTCCTCCAGGTGCTCTCGTTTTCCCTACGTCTAAACACGTGCAGAAGTTGTGAATATAGTGAGTGACTGAGCAAATGGTGAAATTATCAGTACAGTGGTCCCTCGTTTATTGCAGGGAACACATTCTTAGAATAACCAAATGACTTAGAATAATGATGTAGCAACTTTGTTTTAAGGCTTTAAAACACCTTACCACACATAAAGGTATTTTAATGCCATACTGGCGGCTAGAGGACTTCGTACAAAGCCTTTAGTTTGACCTTGGTCTGTGAAATGTGCTACATAAATAAAAAATAATTGCATTCCAACAAAATCTTATAATTATAAAAGATTTGATTTGAAAGAAAATGAGCTTGTTTCATCCTCCAAATATTTGTCACCGCACTTGTTTTCAGAAGAAAGATGTTTGCTTGATTTGTTGGTTTGGTGATGACATCAATCAGACCCTGGGATTAGAGCTGACAGGCGCCATCCATTTTTCACAGAAATCTATACAACTTGCCCCTAGGTTTTGTGCTTGGTTTTTTAGTCATGAAAGTATGGACTCAATTAAAGTCACTGGGCCTCACTAATTGCGTTGGTTTCAATCTTGACCAATATAATTAGAATAATGTTTATCTTGGTGAATGATCAGACATGTGGACATCCTGTTGATAAGAAGGGTGCCAGTGCATTGACTCGTGTCCGAGAGCTTAATGACCATTTTGTGAGTCATCTACATTCATCCTGTTCGAGACGTCAGTGTCCTCAACACTGCGTTTTCAGTTTCAACCATTGCACTTTTGTTTTGTTTTTTCTTGACAAAAATGTACTTTAACATTCATTGTTTGAGTGGGGTTTTTACTGTCACTGCTGTGGTCTTGAGAAACTGATGCCACCGTTGTCTAAGAGCAGCCTCACAGACAATCATTAAAATAAAACACTATACCAACGCAATACCAGTTATTGGTTACTTCTGATACAAATCGAAATGAAAAACACATAATCAAATATATGACGGTTGGATTGTCTCTAATGCCATTTTCCCAATTAAAATGTGGAATAATGTAATGTAATTCCCCCACTGTGGGACTAATAAAGGCTTCTTTCATTCATTCTATAACCACCACATTAACCTTCCCTTGTTATTTTTGTATTTATGTGGAAATCTTGCCGCATCCAGTTAATTATATTGAATAGATGTACAGAAGCATTCTAAAGAGCCCCCAGGGAAATAATTAGCAGTGCTGGTTGCTTCTCCTTTTGAATACCATGAAAATCAACGGTCTTATTTATACACAAAGGCCACAATTATTGATCTTGTAAACTATGGTTTATTTTGGCTCTGAACGTTTTCGGTAATGCTCCTGTGTGTTTGTTTATATTTCTCTTTTGCAGGGTTCTCAGGATTTAGGGTTTGCCCCCTATAAGTTTACCTATTCTAATTGATGTCTCCTCTTCTGTCCTTCAGTTTAAGTGTTGCGGAGGTCAGGAGTACAAAGATTGGTCGGTCAACATGTACCACAACTGCTCTGCTCCCGGCCCTTTTGCCTGTGGCGTGCCCTACACCTGCTGCATCACCACCAAGGTCTGTGCTTTTCACTCTGTAATCTAAAATGAGCACAGGTAAGCTTCCCTTTGATGGAACAAGTAGTATTTAAACTGTTTTACTTTCCACGTTACAGCCATGGAAGCATAGACATTGTAAACAAAAGTATGATTTACAGTCAAAACAAGTAGTTTGTGTGTGAGATAAAATGTTATTAACTTCATTCTGAGTCTCGTTCAGTTCAGACTGAAACGACTGTGAAACAAGCACCAGCACTAGTTCAATCATCTTTTATTTGTAGAGCGCCTTTCCTACACAAGGCAACACACCCTTGTGCTACATGATTTTATTATTTAGAATTGACAGAATAATCGAGAATTGGTATTAAACCCCTAAACATGAGGCCTTGTTCTTGTGCAGCAATGTCTAATTATAGTGTGACGATATTATGGTTACAGTACGGAGAGAAGGCGCATGCAAAGCAATTTCCACCCACACCTGTTCAAACATTGAGATTTTTTTTTTAATTATTATGAGATGTCTTTTCCTGACATGCCTTTTTTTGGAAGATTGTTCTAAGGCAAATCTCAGATAAATATTTAAACATATTTTAAATCAATTCACATGGAAATATGAAATAATGAATTTTGTAGCTTATTTGTCGTGAAGTATTAGATGACATTTCCTGTCTTTTGCACAATCTGACTGTTTCTGCTTATGCCAATGTGACATGTACATTTCTCATTTGTGAGATCAATAAAGTTTATCTTGCACCTCTTGTATCTGGGAGTATGACATCTGTTTCTATGGAAACTTCTCTGGACTGCAAATATAGAATGTATTATATTTATTTATATACTTTATATTTTCATATTTATAATAATAATAATAATGCATCGGTTTTATATAGCGCTTTTCTGGACACTCAAAGACGCTTCACATGTGTCATTATTCATTCACTCCATACACGGTGGTGATAAACTACTGCTGTAGCCACAGCTGCCCTGGGGCACACTGACAGAAGCGAGGCAACCAGTATGCGCCATCGGCCCCTCCGACCACCACCAACCATTCATACACACACCAGACTCATTCTAGGCAATGGGGGTGAAGTGTCTTGCCTAAGGACACAACGGCAGTTTGGCACTTTACAGCCGCAGCCGCCCCACTGTGGCTGGTGTTCCCAGAGGTTAAGTGTCTTGCCAAGGACACAACGACAGTAGTCAGTGGGAGTCGATGGTGAAAGTCTTGAGCGGGGCTTGAACCCACGCCCTTCTGGCTCAAAGGCCAAAGCTCTACCAACTGAGCTACTGCCGCTATTTAGTTCATACACCTTTCATAACAAATACAATTTAGGTCAGATCAGTAAGTGAATAGATGTATTTAGTTTGGTAATTATTGGCATTTTGTTTCCCTCACTCCCAGATGGCAAGCGGGCGTTTCTGTCAGTTATAATGACATGCAAATGTTCCTGTGTTTGAATATGGAGATGCAGAATTATCAAATGTACAAATACTTCACAAAGTCACTGTGCTCCGTGCAGTAAACAGGCTTTTGTTTGTTTTACTATTACAGTTGCTGTTACACTGAGGCCATGTTCACACGTCAGTCCGTCAGTCACCAATATGACTTCAATGTGGAACAGTTACACATGGTTCAGGGTGAAGATTATTTAAACCCTGATTATAGAGTTATGGTCAATTCAATCATAGTCATCTGTTTTAAATGGACAATAGAAAAAGTGTTAGTGCTAAAACATGACCTAAAACTTGTGCTCAAAACCAACCTTTGCAGAAATTTGTCAACTTTACTTTTGAGATTATATTATCAATTTATGCAAGAAACACTTCCATAATGGCATCAGCTCTATCAATTCACAATAAAGTCAATGCTGAGAATAGATCTCCTTTTCTTAGGCAACATTTGTATAGTATTTGGAATGTTTTGTCTCACACTTACAACTCATTACAAAGACCGACATGTGGCTCATCTTGTATTGTCTCTCCGTAGCCTAATGAAGTGGCCAACACTCTGTGCGGATACAAAGTGCTGGAGAAAGAGGTGAGTCATCTCTGGACCGAGGGATCCGCAGCTTTCTATTCATGGCTTTCAAGGAAAAGGCCAAAAAATTATTTTTTCTTTCAGATCAAATCATACAGGTAATATGAAAGAGGATTATAGTGTCTCTAGTTTTATCACTCATCCACTAATCCAAAGGTTGATGAATTGATTAATTCACGCTCTGGCCTCATGCTTGGCAGCCTCAATTCCATCAGTCCCTCATCAGTTATTTCCAATTGTAAACCATTGATGGAATGTATAGTGTCTTTCAACTGTCAGGATTCACCAACAACATAGAACGCCAAGCAAGCACAGAATTTAGTGTAAAAATCATGTAAAGTACTGCCCATTTCACAAGCATTGGATGATGCTAACCAATTACCCCAAAAGTAATCTGGAGTTCAAGGAAATTAAAATAGGGCTTTCTTAAATCAAGGACATGGTGACTTTGTTTTAGTGTAGTGGATACTGGTGAAACTCAGAACATTAGAAAATCATTCAAAAGGTAATTTTACAAACAGACTCATTAAAGTAAAGGGAGGGATCAAGCCTTTCTTTGTTATTAAGCTGAGTTTGAGTTGAATTCCAGGAATAAACAAACATTTGAACAATATTCTAATCTTACAAGTTTCATCTGTACTTCATAAATTATGATAAACCACTCTAATTATCCCAGTATCCTCTTTAGGATCCTGGCCAATGTTGTACAGAGTGCTTCCAAATCTCAGTATGTGAGATTATTTGTGGCCATACCTGCATGTGAAAGCTAGATCCTGTCAGACCTCTGAAGCTAAGTTAGCTGAGCTGAGTTAGTAGTGTGATGGGAGACCAGTGGAAACACCAGGTGCCACAGTGGGGCGGCTGTGGCTGTAATGATTGAATGGTTGGTGGTGGTTTGAGGGGTCGAAGGCATAAACTGATTGCCTCGCTTCTTTGGCTTTAGTTGTAGATTTAACATAACATGTGAAGCGTCTTTGAGTTTCCAAAGTATTCCACTATATAAAGCTGATTTATTATTATTATTTATTTATGCATTTGTTTTCTTAGCGTTTGGATTTAATCGATGTCATTCATATCCGAGGCTGCACTGACGCCTTCTTCATCTGGCTCACGGACAACTACAAGTACATGGCAGCTCTGCTACTGGGCATCCTGCTGCCCCAGGTACCTCCTCACCGCTTCTGTAACATTGCTCTTCACTCCTAAGTGTCTTTTCATGATAGTCTTTGTATGATATGTAAGATAATGTGGACAAACGTTTAGAACAATATTATCTTACCGCACATAAAAAATAATATTGCCTGTTTGCAAATCCTTCTCAGAATGACCAACTTGATTGCATAACCTTTAATATTATTTTCACAAAAACTCTCTCAATAGATTAGATTCTTCTGAAAAGTTTCAGAAAACTTGTGTTAATAAAGTTGTGCCACAAGGATCTATTCTGGGCCCCGTGCTTTTTTGCTACATCGGAATTTATCAAGACTGTAGGTTGCAAATGTGTACACTGCTGATCAGGCCATGCTCAAACTACAAGAAGATTTTAATAAAGCACAAAAATCCTGAAAAAATTTAGATTGTTTATATAGATAAACAAAGTACTAAAAATTGTTCTTTTCCGTTTTTTTCACTCTGCCCTTGGCTTTATCACAGGTGACGGGTTTTAAACACACCTTTTGTTACTCTGGCCTTCACGGTCTGCTAGAAAAGAGCAACATTGTATTACATTTATTCATGAAGGATATAAAGGAAAGTTTGTTCAACTAGTAACCAAGTATTATACTGGAACTGTCGCTCTCTGAACACAAGATAATCATTCACCTCGATCACTGCACCTGTGTCACTCCTTGTAGCTCGGTGTTAACCTCTGCTGCTGTTAATAGGGTTAGTTGTTCTTTCCCCAGCTCCTATTCTTCCTCCTTAACCAGAGCCAAAAGCTGCCTTTTCTTGCCTCTTCCGAAGGTTATTTTGTAGCCTTTCCCATTATTCCTGCATGCCTCAAGTGACGTGTCATTTGTATGTCAAGGCTTTGTGACAAACTCCGTCTCCACAGGATAGATGGTGGTTTTTCAGCCAGTTGCAAATCTGGTTTAAAACTGTTTCATTATTATTGTGCTTATCCATGTGTTGTCTTTGTGTTGAAACAGCCACCCATGAGAAAGAGTGTCTTTTACTCTCATACGCCTTTACGGTATAAAAAACATGAAAAATCAACACAAATGGGATTAGAATCTGTGCTGTGTCTGACAATTCAGTGAAAAAAATTGGCAAACGACCCAATTATAATTGTTGTTTGTAGGATTAAACCAACAAAATTAGCTTCTTGATGCAGTGGTGGCTAAGAACTGCAAAGCACAATAAATTCCTCTTTCATTTCATGCATCAGTGTAAATATATGTTAATTAATGAGTCTTTGATTTGGCACTTTCAGTAACTTCTTTGCATTGTGGCAAATTTAGCAAGCTTGAGAATTATAGATAAATGAGACGTATCTTATCTGCTTCTTTACTTTAATCACTGCTTTCTCTCCACAGTTTTTTGGTGTGATTGTGAGTTGGCTGTACATCACTCGAGTGGAAGATGCAATAACGGAGTACGGCCATTACATGGACGGGCTGCTGGAGACCGACGGAGGGAGGGAGACCAAGACCCACGGCCGTGTTACAAAGTGGTTTAAGTGCATGCCCGACATGGACTAGAGGGACGTCTAATGGACACGAGCTCCCCACCCTACACTGATGAAAAATGTGCCTTCACAAGTCTCAGGGACTAACACACACTGCAGGTCTTACTAATGTACGACTTTTACAGTGACTTTTCACAAAGGAATCAGCCTGTGATAATGTATCTGAAAGACACCACTCTTTCCAACAGTTATAGTTCATTCACTTATCGTTATGAAGGTCTTTGCATCTAAATGTCTCGTTGTTCTTGCTGAAACGTGCAAAAGTATCAAGTTGCATACAAGAAGAAGATGAATTTATTATTGGCTTTCATTGCAACCAGTTTATAGGCACCACTGACTCATGATATTGAGGAGAAGCATCGTTTCACAACAGGAGTGAGACAAAATTAAAATATCTCTTTGTTCCTTCCCCTCCCTTTGTGATTAATTGTTTTGGTCCTATAAAGAAGAAAAGTTCTGTAGAAATTATACTAAAAATGGCTTTAATTTAAAACACCGAAATATACTATGTGTATTTTATCTGCATGTGCTTTTTTATATTCTCCATTTCTGAGGCTTCATAATAAAATCATATTAAAATAGAGCTTTACAATTCCTACAATTAATTATTTTGCACCAGTCTTGATGACGATGTGAAGTGTGTCCCCCTGCTGTACTGAAAGGAGAACCTGATTGTACTCTATTGTCTATTTTCAAGTTTTCTTTAATGGCTTTTTTAAAGTTTACAAATTCAAGTGTGTATGACATGTTTTCATTATTTTATGCAGTTGATATTTTGGTGGAATGACCACTCAAAAAGGAAGAAAAGTGGAAAAATTACAGAGCAAGCACTGTTCTTGGACTGATTAAATTACACTAAGAACTGAACTTTTTATTTATAGTTTAACATGTTTTGAGACCTAAATGGTTCACTCAACTAAACATATTCTCATGATCTAGTTCATCAAGTAATATAATTTTGTCATACAGGAGGAGTTTTGGCCAAGACCATTTTATTCTGTCAGTGACGTCCCCAGAGTGATCTCATCAATCACAACCAGGAAGTGAAATTATCAAACTTTAAAATATGGTGAAATTGGGATAAATATGTGAAATAAGTTGCACACTCTTTAATCATGTCCTTTGTGTTTTGTGAAAAGTGAAATCCACCCTGTCATACACACTTTACCACGTTTGCCTACTACTTAAATATTATTTCTCATTCTACTGAAGCAAGTTTGACTACCTGCACTTGTGTACTGGCGACAACCACTGAAAGCGTTTTCTCAGGTATTTCCTAAGCTTGATTTAGAGTGAACTTTGGTGATGTATTTTCTGAGTGTGATTGGTAAAGTGTGTGCAAACAATAAACTTGTTTTATTATTTCTTACAGTTTTAGTATGTGCTTTACTGCCCTGCATGTTGTATTAGGTGAGCTCAAGCGTTAAATAATGTATTACCAATACCACACTGTGTGCCCTATGTCATGGGAAAAGTCAACTTAAACTGGAATACACTGCTAAATCTTTAATCCTATGAAAGTCAACACAACCCACCAGCGCATGTCCAGTTTTAGTATAGGAACAGGATCTCATTATCTATTTTCATTTTGTCACGAGGCCATAACCTTTTCTTTGATTTATGACTTTTTAAGAGTAATGTTCACACTAAAAAGGACTAGAGTCTTCTCAAGGCTTCAAGGACTGTGAAGACGGCTCCAGAATAGCTTTTGCATCACAGGGTCCATATCATAAGAATGTGTTGAAAATGTAAATTGCACAGAGCTGTAGTGAATAATGTTTCGAGGTTGAGAGGATACAAGACCCATGAAACAGTTCTGTGGACCACATGGCACCATTCAAGTCTGATATTTACATTTGTATTGTGAGGTGGTCGTGGTAACTGGCCACGTCCTTGGTGCTACTGAACAACGCTGTGAACATTCTTCTTCTACATTTGCATTATGACCAGAGAACATTCAAGCCTGTGTTCAGAAGGAAAACATAGCATTATTAGTCTGAAGGGGGAAGTAATAACTGCTTGTACTTTTTCAAAACAAACTTATAACAAATTGTTCTTCTCTAAATGATTTTCAGTAGTAACAAATTGGCTATCTGGAAACAATTGTGTGTCTGGTTACAATAAATGCAACTCGTTTTAGCTCTTTGCAAATATCCTATTCATTGATTTATCAATGAGTTCTCCATACAGTGCCTCTCCAAAGTACTTCGAACTTGTTTTTCTTGCCTCCCATCCATAAAGCCCAGATTTAGAGTATGACTCACAGTTGTCCCATGAACCTAAAGGGCACTTGGTTGCCTTTCTGAGCAGTCTGTGAGTTGTGGTGAAAGGCTGTTGTTGGAGACTAAATAGTTTGGTTGTTTTGATTATATTCTGATACATTTCTATTATGTTTGTATTATACAGAATTATGATTTTTTGGCAATTGATTTAATTTGGTACATTTTGCATATAATTTAGTTAATTATTTTGTTAATAATTCTTGCTAAAGTTAATCATGGATTAATTTAGATTTAATATATATTTTATATTTTTTATCACTCCTGGCCCAGACTAGTTAAGGCGCAGGTGTGCCAGGGGAAAGCGTGGAGTGTGGAGTGGAGCCACAGTTTTTTGACCTCTCGAACTCTCCTCGTCCTTTTCCTTTTTGTGTGAATATTCAATAAAGAGTTTTTAGGTTTCCTCCGGGTACTCCGGTTTCCCCTACCACTAAAAATATGTACAATAGGTCTGACATGCGCCTCCTGTTCGGCGACCCCGCTCCCATCTCTGTGTGGAGTGAGAGGACAAGTGCCCAAAAATAACAATTGTAAACTGCTTTGTGACTCTGGTCTGTGAAAGGCGGTATATAAATAAAGATTACTTACTTACTTACTTAAAATGCATCTTACTGTTCCATTGATTTTATTCTCTCGCACTGTACACTATGGATTATGGTTTAAGAGCGATACTCTGCTTCACTGTTTGGACACAACAGCTGTGTCTTAGTCAGTTCGCAGTGTGGTGCCATACTCTTTCTAATTTTCTGATTGATGGATTGAACAGTGCTCCGTGAGACGTTCAAATCTTGGGAAATCTTGGTCTAACTTTAAACCTCTCCACAACTTCATCCCTGATCTCACTGGTGTGCTCCATTGCCTCCATGATGTTGTTTAGTGATACAACTAATACACTCCCCATAGAAAAGCTGGATTTATACAGAGAGTACATTTCCACACCATGCCCCAATGATTAAATCAGAATCTTTTTATTGCCATTTGAGTAACAGGAAGTCACAAACTAGGAAATTGCTTTGGCTCTTGGTGCAAACAAGTTAAAGCAGAATAAAATCAACGACATGCAAAAATAAAAATCTACATAGAATCTACATAAAACAGAGGCCACCAGCTCTATTAAAATATTGGGACATGATGTGAACATTCAGCAGTCATTATAAATAGTTTAAAGGTAATTTTATGCACTCAGAATAAAGCAGTAAGAATAACACACCCTACTATTCACTTTTCTATTTTCAAAACAACAGTCATTTATCATTTCACTTCACAGTTGTCTTGTGTGTGAACTTTTTAAACATAGGTGCAAAGGTTGAAGGTGTGTTAGAACTTTTGGTACTGGATGCAGAGTTATTTAAAACATTCATCTATCCATTAATTATCTTCCACTTAACCCTTTATCAGCTCAGGCGTCGAAACAGATACCCGAGCCACCTCAACGTGCAGAAGCAGCGTGACCGAGCTCCTCGCCCTATCTCTGAGGAAGCGTCCTGCCACTCTGCGGAGGAAACTCTATGTCACTGCTTCTATCTGCTCCTTCAATCTCGTCCTTTGGCCTTTACCCAACACTCATGACCGTAGGAGAGGGCGGGGACGTAGATTGACCGGTAAATCGAGAGCTTTGTGTTTTAATTGTTCAGAACTGACTTTTTATAAACCATTAAGACGTCCTTTTGTGGCATCATCTAAACTAGAACATATATTTGGATGGATTAAACAATTATCAAAACAGTTCTTGCCTTACTTCTTTATGTTCATTTCTTCGAGGCCTTCGTTCCACAACTAAAAAGCGTGTTTATTTGTAATTTTGTTTGTTGCATATTTGTTTTATGATATTGTTAAGTAAGAGCATGGTTGTTTTGGCCTATCACGTGTCCAGCTGGCAAGTTTGGAGCTCTCAAAACTGGCAGCCATGGTAACACTAAAAGCATGAAACTATAGCCGCCTCTCGAGATGCTTTTGAAAATATTATCTCTGGATGGAAACAGACAACATTATGAGAGTAAACCACAAATACTAGACTTTGATCAAACTATGTAATACACTCACACACACACAAAAGTTCTCAACAAGTGTTAGACATTTCTCATTACATTCCAGTTAATGACTTTGTCTTGAAGAAAATGTTTTTGTTTGTTTTGAGGCCAATTAAACACAACACAGCATATAATCCCTCCATGGTAACTCTCCCTGACAATTATCTGGTTCATTATTATTATTTCCCTAATCCTGTGGACGGCTGACAGTGCACCGTAATGTGGGGGAAGGTGTAGCCATCTATTAGTCTGGCGTCTGACATTTAGCAGGGCACATAATAAATTAACGTTGTTAACTTGAGCTTATAGCCAGAAGGAAACTCGGATGGAGAGCTGATGAACTTCAGTCACCTGCAGTCGACACTGGCCTCAACAATGGTACTGAAAGGAAACTATTAAATGGACAGAGATCAAGAGTATCACCATGAATGTTTGTTCTTTTTTCTTTTCTGTGTAGAAAAACATTATTTCAAAATAATGTATGAAATTAATTGCATCATTTTGAAAGTAATAATAATTATAATACATATTACTTCTCAGGCGCCTTTCTTGACACTCTCGCTTCACCAGTATGTGAATATAAGTAAAAAGGTTTAAGCATATATAAAAAAGGAAACCCTTCAATGTATGTAATATGATTTATGAATTATATGTAATGGCTGTTAAATCTGTGATTGATTCCTGTTTATAAGATTGAAATAAAT